CCCAAATTTTAAAGTAACATGTACAAGCAATAAAATGAACTGGCTAGTCTACATGGGGAGATTCTGCAATATTAACGTATTAGACAACACTACAATGTTATTTCTTTTAAATAATGGCTCCAAAAAATGATAATGAAGTTGCTGTTATTTGATTACAAAAAGGAAACTTTCATCTCAACTTCTTTTTAACCTACTATTTTGACCTTTTCCTGAAATATAAGTTGTCTACTAAACACCCATAAAACTTTGCATGCCTTTCATAGAATACTTCCCACACTGAATTGCATTTAACTATTTCTAATTCTTACTCTTATATTACATTGTGAACATTTGCAAACAGTAATCATTTCTCCTTTATTTTCCTGGAAAACCAGTGCTATCTGGCATTTAGCATTTCTTGCATGGTAACAGGCAACACAATAACATATTTGAGAATACAATAATTGAGTAGAAAAAATATATAAAAATCAAATTCTAGTAAACATAAATTTCCCTAAAGTTGGGTTTGTTCCAAAGTTTATTATCTGCTGTTAAACCCAAATATTTCCTGAAAATACAATTTTTGGAACTCTATTATTCCACACCCAAAGAAATAATTGCAAATTTTCTTTATCAAAGATCAATTATGCAGTGATTTTTCTTGCTCTTTTACTGATTGCTTTCATGTCGAGGCAAAAAAGATGAAAGGAAGCAGAAATGTTCTCACTGGTCCATATTACCCCTTGCTTATAAATGTTCTGATGAGAAACACTTCTTAGAGATGATTATTCTAATGGTTGAAACAGGGTGTCAAAATGTCTATTTCAATCTTTCTTATTTTACTCTCTTTTAAAGTTTGTACCATCATTTTAAAAACATACATTTCAATTTTTGAAACTTAAATACTATATTTTCATTTTGAATTTTCTAAAGCAAACTAAGTTTTATACTAAAGACAACTCTGTACTTCCTAAGGCTGGTCACACCCAGACTCAGAAATTCTCTAACAGTGAAAGCTTAAAAGTGTTTTTGAGATGGCTAAAAATACAGAAGAGATATTATTAAAAATTCTATAAGAAATGCTAGTAACATTTCAAATCCAACATAGGAAGACAGGAGAAATAAAAAGTCAACAGATTGTATGGGTGTTCACCATGGTCTCTAGAGGAATTCTCAGGAAATATTTATGACCATATCATAATTATAACTGTTTCATAATTCAAGTTCAATTTAACTCTTTACATCTTCAGCTTCATTATTCAGTCTAAATTCCTGGTGCCATCATTATAGTAAGAAAGTACACATTCAGTCAACTGAACACAGCTTATGAGAAAAAAACAAATTCTACTTAACTTTACCAAATAAGAGCAGCTTTATTTAAAGGGAATAGTGCCACAATCAAACAATATGATAGATAAGCAGAACAAAGCTGGGCATCCTAAAAGCTGTTCAAATACACAACTAATGTTATTCTAGTTATCCTTGGGTGATTACTATCAAACCACTGATAAGTATGACTTCAGGGTATGTGTCAAGATTTCTTCTATATTTTAATTGATGAAAATAATTTCAGAGTATTCACAATAAAATTACAGATTAATTCCATAATAATTGAATCATATTTTTCATAATAATTGTAACCATCGTAACAAGTCATTTATTTTTGACTATTTGGTCTTTTTGCTCTATCTGATTTTACTATTTAGCTAAAAAAAAGTAGCACACACATTCAATTTGGCTTAATTTGCAGCAGCTGAGCTCCACCTACAGGTTACAAAGATGATTTTTTTCAGTAAGTTTTAAAATAAGACTTTCCAAAAGATAAGTTCAACTATATCCCAACTTCAGTGGAGTTACAAGAGAAAATCTAAATGATGTATATGTTTAAATAAATGGAAAATAAAGAAGTAGGGAAAGGAAGAAAATGTCGTGGTTTTGTTTGTATTTTAGTCTGGAATGCCAGGAGAGGTTGATATTGTCTAAAGAGAGAAAACTGAAGACAAAGGAAAGAGGATGGAATAATTTTGAATGGGTGGAGATTTCCCTCCTCTAAAAGCAGAGGAAAAGAGAAAAAAAAACAAGAAATCACCTGACAGGGTCAAGGGAAAAAGAAAAAAGAGAGTTGAAGGAAGCACTTTATTTCATAGAAGAGAGGCAAGTGATCTGGTAAGAGGGGTGTTGTAAGTAAGCCCTAGGGGGGGGTGGGGAGTGGAGAATCATACAGGCACAGCTGAGGCTAGGTACATGCATTACTCTAGTTCTGCTCCTCAAAATCTCATAGGCTAACTATGGCTTAGAGAAAATGGGCTGCATAAGAGAGTGAGTCAGATATATTAAGAAAAAAGAGGAACCAAAGAACTAGAAATCCCAAAGAGTCAGAGTAAGTAAAATGAGAGAAAAGATAAGACAAAGGTAGGAAGAACTTTGGGTTTTCCCTCTTGAATCCATAAGTACTTTACAACAGAATCAGAGACATTGCTGAGAATACATTGGGAGAAAGATTCCACTGTATGTAAATTTGTTGAAAATTGTATCATTTAATACCATTCCCCAAATATTAAATTTGGTATTATGTACTTAACAAACCTGCTTAGGCCTAACATTCAAGTGATAAACAGATTTACCAGATTCCAAATGTTTCTTTACCAACAAAAGCAATATCACAAATTTTGAGTAAAAGTATGATTTGAAAACTTTTTGCAAAGGTAAGTGATAGTCCCTCGTTTTTGATTCTGCTGCTCAACTCAGAAAATGATCTAAGGATAATAGAATATTTCAAGCACATCTACATAAAAAGCCTGCACATATCAAAAACACTGACTTTTAAATAATGATTTCACAGTGACATCCTGTCTGATTAGCTACTATGGACCCATTACAATTCAAGCTTGAGCAGTGATTTCTCTTTCAAAAATAATTATCCTTTTTATTGTATAATAGCTTAAGTCTCCTAGAGGTTTTTCTGACTTTTTAATCTAAACATAAAATTAACTTGAGATTTAAAAGCAAAGTTGGTAAAACAGACCAAAACCATAAATTAATCATTTAGGGTATATTTCTGCACTCAAAATAAATAATCATGAGCAGAGCATGGAAATTCTAAACAAGGGAGAAAACTATATTTTCCCTTTGGAATTCTATACTTTCTCATCTATTCTGATCTCCTTATCTCTATCGTAGATAAGAGAGAGAGGAGGAAAGAGAGAGAAGGAAGATAAAATTAGGAAGGGGAAGAATTGTTAGCTGTTTTGCCAAATATTCTTTATTTAATTCTTATAGAAAATTCAGCTTTGCAAAATTTTAAGTTATATTAACTGAAAGCTATATAAATATTTGGAATTATATCAAGGTCAACAAGTCAAAGTAGAGGACCTTAAAACCACTTTAAAAAATAAGTATTTGGTTCATGTATTAAAAACTTAAAGTGTATTTTTGTCATATTAGAACCTTAACTTTAAAGAAATTCATAGTTATTAAAAATCAGAAAGGGAGCAAAAAAATATCCTTGATTACATTCATGCTAGGATGGAGAGTTTATAGGCAGTCACCAGTTCCCTGTATGTATAAGCTGTACCATCACTAAAATCTTCAGTTAGTAGTGGCCCCAAGTTAATCTATTACATTAAATTATTCAATGGCTATTACTTGAGCATTAAGTGAAAGCTGCTGGGGGAAAAAAGATATTTAAGGTAACTTTTTTTTAAAAGGTTTATTTATTTATGCATACAGAACTGTGGCACAGGCCAGAGGTGCAGGGACGGTGAGAGGATTCACCAGGGTCAGAGCAAGAAGCAGAACAGGCAGATTGACTACGGTACACTGCTGAGGGGAGCAGCAAGAGAGACAGGAGAGGTCTGCTGCGCCATGTGGAGCACATGGGGGGGGGGCGGGGATCGAGCTCGCACTGAAGCGGCTATGCCAGCTTCGCAGTGCTGTGTTCCAACCCGTTGTGCCACCAGGCAGGGCCTAAGTTAACTTCTAAGTACCATATTTGAAAGCAAAAGGTTACACTGTTAGTGGAAATTTTTGATAATTACATTTCTGACCATGTATGGGAAGTAATAGAGAAGTAAGCAATGGCAACATGGAGATACTTTTCTCTTTTCCTTATAGGAGCTTAGAAACACTACAGAAAAGAAAGATTTTCAGATGTAAAAACTCTCAACCATAGACCATCCAAAGAAAATATTATATTACTATCTTTTTAAGCAGTACCATTCAAAATGTTAAACACGTATCTTAAAGTTGTAACAACAGAATCACAAAGTAGAGTGTTATGCTTAATTATGCTTAAATAATTATTTCAGGAAAGTAACACATTAAGTCATAAAACAAAAAATTTTTATCATCAGACATTTGCTGAAACTTCTTTTATGATACCAATGAGATTACTAGGGGTATAAAATATTTGTAAATCAAGCTTGAAAGATATTTAAGATTTTCTTTCAGACCCACAATTTTTCTTAACAATGACAAAATTTATTCACCAATTTGCAATCTCTTTTTTGTTCAATATCATTACTGATTTCATTGGTATTAAACACAACCTCCCATATTTTGATACTACAGTGCTTAGGGAATATATAAAAAATTATGGGTGTTTTACAGTGGGGGGAGGGAAGTGCACTGGACTATAGTGATGGCACATGGGTGATATGGTGATGGGAAGCCCACGGGGATTACAACTGAGATGGAAAAAGGCACAAAATAATGTAAAAATAAACTATTATATTATTTAAAAAAAAAGGGAAAGGAAACTCAAAAAAAAATTATAGGTGTTTTAAAAGGAGAAATCAGAGACAAAAGAGGTAGAATTTGATTCATAGTTTACTTTAAACTGGTGTACTTCCTTGTGGGCCTCCATCAACACAACAGGTATATAGATATCAGATATAATTATCAAAACAGTATTTTAAGAAATGTACTGACTTAAAAATATAAATTTTAAATGAAACCCAAATCTTAAATTGAGGTTGTAAATAACAAAAATGCTAACAATGAAAAGTATAAAGCTCACTTACCTGCGGCTAACTGATTTCTTCCCCACTTCTCCCTCTGCAGCTGATTTAACATTTGTGGTTGTGTCCTTTTTTAACTTCTTTGCAATTCTTTCTCTCATCAGATTCTTCTCATCACTGTCAATACATTCACCATGCTCTGCGTCTTCATTTTCTCCATACTGTAGAAATTGAATGGAAGGTTTACCAGGCTTTCCAGTTCCTCTTTCACTTCAAACTCCCTTCACTGCACTCTAGGATAGCTTTGGTTTTGTTTGCTTGTTTGGTTTTGAATTGGGAAAAAGACAGGGAGAATCTGCTCCAGCAGGGAATACCCCCATGCCTGCTCTAGGCCAACTATCTAAAACTCAGGGTACCTACAAAGCGCTGTTTGCTCAGATCACACCCAGCGCCTCTGTGCAGCACACACTGCACTCCCTCTGTCACCAGGAATACTGTCCACTTATATCCCTACTCTTTCCAGTGGGAATGTGGCTGCAGGAGGTTGCTGGCCAGCATACTGACCTCAAGCAGGGGCTAATTAGGTAGAAGAGATGGAGAAACAGATTTCTTCTTAGGGTGTACATCATAGCAATTACTCCTCTTCTCACAAAACTCTAGTGGAGCCCCAAATCACTCATGTTGTAGTAACAGAACCACAGAGGAGAGTATTTTAACTGAGGCCCTGTGTGATCTGCACCTCCCTGACGTAGTCACCTACACCTCTGGGCTAGCAACACGAGTTAGCTTAAGAGCTGTTGTTCTCTGCAGCCTGAAATACTCATTCCAAGACCTTCAGGACATATACCTTTTCTACACATTAAAACTAAATTAATGACATCTGAATTTTGGATATTCCAGTAATATTATATGAAAAAGTGGGCAACAAGTTCATATATAAGATTCTAATTTTGTAGGAAAGTTCACATAAATATGTACTTGGATTTTATTTTTTAAATCTTTGAATTTTTAAAAAATTTTACATATTTTAGCATAAAACTACATTTTACCTTTTAAGGGACTAGAAATATTTTGTAAAAATTTTGGATTTCTAATAAATTTTTCAAATGTTATTTATACTAAAATTATACTCACATCATCCGAATTTCCTGCTGTTTCACCTTTTTCACTATAAAAAGTAAGTAAAAGCAAGTAAATTTTTGTTTCAAAATGAAAAGTAAAAAATTTTCAATAACTCAAAATTTTAGAATGGCTTTACAATTTTTCTCAACATAAGGATTGCAGAATGCAAACTGAAACATTCTAAAAGGAAGTTCTTTTAATAAATGAACAAGCAGTACACTCCATTAGCATTCATATGAATTCATTAGAATTTTTTTTATAGAACAACCAAGCAAGCATGGTATTTTTAAGAATAAAGGGCTAAAGAAAACAATTTTTTCTATTGGCTTATAGTATCTGGCTGAAGTAACAATAGTTCAAAAGATACTAGGAACCCTTCAAAGGATATAAACAAAAAAGCTATTTTGAAACAGAATTTCTAAAATGAGCTAAAGTAAGTACAAAAGTACTACCTCTTTGAGACACTGGTCCAAGGTATCATGTACACTTCCATTTAACAGAAGTTATCATCCCTTCTCAAAGAGAAGTAGTAAAGACAGTGATATAGTAAGGAGAATAAGATAATTTCTTGAGGTCTGTGATAAATAATACTCAGTAGATTGGCCCCAAATGGGGTAGTTTTATGACAAAAACCCTTTAACTCTGATGTACTTACCCTTGATACTAACTGAAACAAAATACTTCAAGAAAAATGTTAGTCAAGCACCTCGTTGCATTATACTTACAAATAGATGCCTAGTATTCAAACTCTCTATACCATCATTTAATGGGTTTAACAATTAAATTTAAATATAATTGAAACAGGAGATGGCAGGAAGAGTGAACATGACTCGAGTGCTTTTCCCCATTATACTATAAGTTCTACTAACTCTACTACCAAAATGCTTTAGTTTTTTGGTTGGGTTAAAAAAAAATGGACTTATGAGAACTGACTGCTTACTCACAAAGCAAGCAAGAAAATTACCTAAGCCAGAAAATAAGAACTTAGGATCACGCCAGCATCATACTAACCTTTCAACAACTGGAACAGAACTGAGATGTGGGTCATCCTTAAGCAAGTCATGACTACTTTTGCTTTTCCCCTTCATGCTCTAGAAAGGAATGTAAAATATAATCATGAACTGAAGGGAGGCAGGGGAACAGTCTTCCAAAAGGACATATTAACAGATTTGCATAAAATCTAATACTGATATAATGTGTTTAGCAAAAGATAAGTGTGCCTGAAAATTTCAGTAGGCTTCCTTATAGATAAGAATCTTAATCACTCATTGACTGAAACTATTCTTTCAGAAACACTTTTTCTTTCAAAAGTAATATAAGCTTAAAAATAAATCCATTTATTATGATTGACAAGCACTAAATCCTCATGATTTACATCCAACTAAGCTAATTTTTGATCTACATTGTTAAAACTTAGACAGTAGGTCAGAAGAGCAATTTGAAATAAATAGTTATTCTTCAAATATACAGTCTAACTGCACAGAATCACTTTAAAAATGTATCCAAGCACCTAGATGAGAACACTTATGAGGTATCCATTAACCAATGGAAACCATACACAGAAGCCCCTAAAATCATGAGTAAATTCCTAAAATTAAACCAATCTCTATTATATCTATCTATATGAAAGGATGATTGAGAAAGTTCATGTTTTATATATATATCAAGAAAAATTACATGCACACACATATATATACATACTTACATATGTATGTATATATATATGTCAAGAAAGATCATGCTTTCCTTCAGTAAAACTTCTCTCTCTGATACCTCTAACTATCAATTGGATAGTTCATCTAATTCACTGAAACATCCTAACAGACTCTATGACTTTTACAGTTTAAAAATCAAAAATTGTAGAGTTTAAGAATCAAAACTCCCCACCCAGTGTAGGAATCTTCTTGACATTACTTCTATCTCAACTCTTAAAGAGAATTTATAATCACATACACACATATGAGTCATTTCTTTTGAAATGGCTTTCATTATTGGGAAAAAAGAAAATTTTCTCCAATTGGAGAATATGATTGTAATTTCCAACATATAAACCAATCCTATTTCTGTCCTTTAGAACTACAAATGAACTACATATAATATGAAGTATGAAAATAAATCTTAGTTTACAAACAAATGAATAGATACAATAATAGCCTTCTAAGACTGTCTACACTGTAGTCCTCAAAACCTTTGCATGCTACCTTATGTGAAAAGAGACTTTGTGGATAAATTAAAGATGTTGAGATATGAAATTATCCTGGATTATCAGGGTGGGTCCAAGAGCATTATATACTCTCTAATTACATGAGGTAGGCAGGAGAGTCCTTTCAGAATGATGGAATATGAAATAGACTTGGTCAGCTATTACCAGCTTTTTTTTTTTTTAAAGATTTTTTATTTATTCATATAGAACTGGGGTACAGGCCAGAGATGCATAGGTTGAGAGGATTCACCAGAGACAGAGCAGGGAGCAGAACAGGCAGATCGATGAAGTACACTGCTGAGGGGAGCAGCAGGTGGGTCAGGAGAGGTCTGCCATGCACTGTGGTCACCTCTGGGGCAGGCGGGGATCGAACTCATGCGGAAATGGCTTAAGCTTCTTAGTGCTGCACTTTAACCCAGTGCGCCACCAGGGAGGGCCCTATTACCAGCTTTTAAAGTACAAGAAGGGATCACACACAAAGGCATATTGTCTCTAGAAGTTAAAAAATGTAAGAGAATAGATTCTCCCCAGAACCTTAAGAAAAATGGCTGTCATATACCTTGATATCTATCTCCACAAAACAAATTTTGGACTTCCAATCTGTAAAACTGTAATATGCTGTTTTTTTTGTTGTTGTTGCTCAAGTCACTAAATATATGATAATTTGATAAAGCTGCAATGTAAAACTAATACAGATATAATAACATTTTATCAGTTAAATACATACAATTAGAAAGATAAGTAAATTGAACTGTAATAGAATTTAATGGGCAAAAACACTTTATAAATCACTGTTCTACCCCTCTCACGACCTCTGTGCAAATGTCCTAGCAGCACTCTCTATATTGTGCCCAACATTTTGGAAACTTTCATTCCATGGGATAAGCAAGAAGAGGGTACAGCATTATTACTTTAGTCTCAAAATCGGTATATTTTTCAATATAGGCTAATATAAGTTCTTTTGGATGAGAAATACAGTGCTTGTATAACTTCATACTTTAGGTAAAAATCTTAATATATCTTGTAGAAAGAAAAATACGTGTATTAATATGAATGTGTTACAGTTTAACACTATTAAAAACTCATTATTGAATAGTTTTATAATGGACCTTCCATTTAACCTGCCTCATAAAAACTACTTTTTTGGTTGTAAGCTTTCACTTGAAAAATATTTTCTGATATCTGCATTTAAATTATACACAGTAATTCATGAGTAAATTTAAATCAATACAGACATGTAAGTAAATGAAACTATTATTCACAACTGGAACTAGTATTTAAGAAAGCAGTGTAAACGAAGGTAACTTTCAGATAAAAACTTCAAACATTTGAAGCACAGGAGCACATTTTCACTTCTCCAAAATATTTGCAGTTCCTCAAGCATTCCCCACATGAGATGGGTTTTGGTATCTTCCTTAACTACCTCATGATCTACCCTTCCTCTGGATTCATCTAGTTTGTCCCTAACTTTTATAAATGAATCAGAACTGAACAAAATACTATAAATGTAATATCAAAAAAAAAAAAGGATGTTAAGTCCCTTATTCCAGAAACCTTACTTTTAACAATTCACCTACAGTTTTTTCTTATATCTAGTTTACTTTGTTAAACTAAAGTACAGAATTTGTATGTACTCCTATTACATTTCAATTCAGTAGTTCAAATTATCAGCACAGGGTGACAACAAAGCAATCCGGGCAGAAGTATCCAGCTAGCTACAAGCCCATCTGACCAGACTGTCTCCCAGATCATATTTCCTCATGCTGTCCACAAGAACATCATGAGAGACGCTGACAATGTGCTTTCCTGAGCTCCAGATATGTTGTTATGCCATCCCTATCATGCAATCCTATCAGAAAAGGAAATGAAGTCAGTCTGGCAAGTCACTTAACAGAGTCTCAGTTTCCTCATCTATAAAGAAAGGAAATTGAACTAGATCCCTTTAAGCTATAAAATTCTATTATTCTAAGAGAGATTTTATCAGGTAGTCAAAAGATACTAAAATAAATAAAAAGGAAAGCTAACCCATGTGGGAGAGCTCTTTGTCATGAATAAAAAGTGGGGGGGGGGGAGCAATGTCTGTAATCCCACACTGATAATCCATAAACCAGAGGCGACTCTCTCTTATTTCTCTTTTCACGTAAAGCTTCTATTCAAACTTAACCAATTTTTGACTTGTGACCAGTTAAACAGTTCTGGAATAAAGTTTAACATTGTAGAGTCACTGAAAAAAGAAATTTGATAAGGAGGTGAATAATGAAACAATTATTTTCTAGCCTTTTAGAAATATTAAATTCATTCAACCACTGATACTGAAAAGTAATTGCTCTTGGTCCTTGTAAGGACTGACTATGGTTTTAGTTATATGCATTTAAAATTCATACACATAAATTATAACAATATATATTCTTTGGTTATACTTTACCAATATTTCAGATTAACTTTTCCTTTTCTTACTAGTTTCATTTCACACAAAAGGCAAAATGTATTTGAGGGTGTTCAAAGTCTAAAGAATAGTACAACAACAAAATAAACAAAATACACTTCCATTCTGATTCTTTCTAGAACTTATCTCATGCATTCTGGAGAAACTTCTTTTCTTCTAAGTTAATAATTTTCAATGATTTTTGTGGATATATTTTCTCAAGCTGAACTTGTCCCTCTCAGATAAATAAGCACAACTAAATTCTGTAGGCCAAACATTCTGCAAGATACATTCACACATGTATAATGTGTTGGTGGTGGGTTGTGGTGAGTTATGATGCAAAAGGGTACCCCAAGCGCTTTAAGGTCACTCAGGCTACTAATCAGGATCCTAGCAGGTGCTTGGGAGGAGCACTTAGGCCAACTGTACTGAGTTTATAGCTTGTTACCCCAGAAAGATATACTGTTGGTAAGTTTTCTTTAGCCAGACTTGCAGACTGCTAGAGCCTGAGGACAGCAGGTAATATAAAATAGCCATGATCTTTAATATAGACATTGTTTGATGTCCTTTAGTTGTATGAGAAAAAAATTAACTTACAGTATATTTCATAAATGTGTTTTTAAGTCAATGCTATTAGTGCTGGTAAAAATCAGGTGATGAAGTAAGGACACACTAGCTCACAAAGCTTTAATTACTACGATAAAGACTTTAAACCTTACCCTGTAGGTCTCCATTTTCACTAATTTTCCAGAAAGGAAGGCATATCAAAATCTTTGGAAGTAAAAAATCCTTGAAGGCTATTTTCTTGGAGAGTACTTATCAGCAATAACTGCTCCCTACTTTTGTAAACTGTTACCTCAATATAAAATAATATAATAAATATATTTAAGTAAATAATATCTAAGAAGAAAATAACTTCTGTATAATGGGAGGGCATTGTTTCAGGAAACAAATTAAACAAATAGTGAAAATATGAATCACCAATTTAGATAATTATTGTTTAACTCACTGATGTTCTCATTGATTTAAAACATTGCCAGGTTTAAAAAACTACTGACCACAGTTAATTTTTAGGGAAATATAATAAGGTGATGTTTAATGAAGCTACTTGAGATTGTAATGAGGCATGTGACAAATGTTTTGAGAACAGGAACATAACCAACTGAAAAGATTAAGTACTACCACCTACCTGATCAACAGAACTTTTAAATTCTGTGTATCTACCTATTTATCAATGCATTACATAGCACATACCAGCACAAAAATATCCAAGTAAATGGTAAAGTCTATGGAGGCAAGAGAAAGGCAAAGATTCCAAGAACACATATCTTAGGTTGAGTTAACAGTGAGTAGACTAAAGGAGAGATTGGATTCTTCCCATCCCTAAGTGTTGTGTGGGGAGATTGATGAAATCAGAAGAGGATGATAAAATGTCAGAGGGAAAAAGGATACTTCTAGTTTATAGAAGATTTACTTTCAAATGCATCCTTGGATTAGTCTCACAATGGACATTCCTCTAGCTCCCATTTTCTGACTACCATGCATTAATAAATACCTTGGTATTTTAAAAACAAAAAAGTCATTTTATGAAATCAGCCCAATGAATACTTAGTGAATGTGTACCATGTCAAATGTGTTTTACCAGGTATAGCAAGAGATACAAAAATGAGTATGATATAGACCCTTGCGTTTTTATAATTTTTTTAAAAAAGGGGAATTAGTTTTACCTGACTAACTCGATTTACTTCCTCCTCTTCTTCCTCAGCTTCCTCTCCAAATGAAAGCAAACTAAAATTTCTAATCAAAAACATTAAGGGAAAAAGAATATAAGAAAAAAATCAAACAAAACATAAATATCCTACCTTCAATGCCATAAAACAGAATTTACAAAAAAAGACATTCTGACTGTTTAACAATAGACTATATTACTTTGTATTCAGCAGAAACATTTTAAGGATCTCTGGTTTCAGCATGGTTAAGTTTTGACCTGAGACCATGGATGTTTCCTATATTGAATAAGCCACTGATCAAAAATCCATCCTCAACACTAACATTAAATGTGAGAAGTCAAGCATGACAGAAATAATTAGCTTTTTATATTTATAAAAACTGGTTAGCCAAATGGAAATTTCTGAGAAATGAATAAATATGTAGTCCAGCACTACAAACAGGAAACAATCTAGTGTCTGCCAAAATATGTCTTAATATTTTCAAAGGATTGTTACCCAACATTGTCAGATAAAAAAAAAAAATTGTCCGCAATATGTGTAACTAAAAAATAGCCCTTAGGGAAAAGGAACTATGTTTGTCTTCTTTTATCCTTCAGACTAAAGACATCTCTCCTAAAAAGAATAAATAAGTTATTAAAGCACCCTCACAAATATTGTGCCAAAGATTTAGCATAAAAGAATAATTTTTTTTGAAAGTCATAGATGGCATTGATGGCTACTGCTTCATCCCTCATTCATCCCTCATATATTGCTATGAATTAAAAACAAAACAAATGCTTGCAACTTTTGGACTCACTGTTAAGACAAACTGTTGTGATGAAATACTGTCTCTGAATATAGTTAAAGTGACATCTCGCCCAGAGATAAACTGGTCAAAATAAATCAATCAAAGAATAAAAAGAAATTAAATAGCCACATAAGACACCAACTGCTTATTAAAGTGTCTGGCTCATATCTGACAGTTTATAAAAACAATGCACTTACTTACACTGCAGAATATCAAGGGAAGAAGTAAATATATAGACACATTACACTATTGGTTGTTTTTGCATATCCCTTCTTACTTAACCTTCATAACAACAAGTTGTTGTACCTACTATAACCTCCATTTTATAAGTTGGGGAAACTGAAGCTCAAAAAAGTGGATAACCTTTGCTTCTTATTAGGTTAGGCAGGTTTATACAATGAAATACCCAAAATGAATGCTATAATACAGTAAAAGAGCAAGTTGAAACCAACTCTTTGCTATCGATTTTAACAAAACAGGTAACACTTAAAGAATACAGTTCACAAAATACTGAAACATTTTAAAAAGAAATTAAACCCATATTTAGCTGTCCTTTATATTAGGAAAACTACCTTTTTAAAAAAATTTTTATTAATGATGTATAAATATTTTAATAGCCCCAAAGCACCCCTACGTGTGCACCTTCATTCACTGAGTTCTTCTCTTCTTAAGAAAATTATCTTCAGGAAAAATACAGAATACAGAAACAGCTTTTTGCTTAAAAACACTGGCAAGAATAGTTTTAACAGCACCCAAAAAAGAAGTGAAAAGTTAAATAAATTATGGAATCAGTGGTCATTACATTCTTCATATTTACTTAATAAGTTCTTTATATTAAGCACATATTAATTGAAAAACAAAAAATAGTAATTGCTAGAATGATAAAATATGTATCAACACATATCATGCTAGCTTAAGTTACACATTGTATTTGAATATTTAAAAAAATACTGAGATATTCTTCCTGGTTCAAAATGGCCCTTCCCTAACTAGTAAACAAGCATTTTAATAGGAAATAAAGTGAAATAAATGAATCAACATTGCTATTCAAGCTGAGAAAAGTCTTTCTACTATAATTACTTTGTGCCTTTGGGTTTCAATTTCTTTACTTCCTCCTCCGGTTTCTCTTTTTTTGGCTTTTTTATTTCTCTTGGGATGATGTCATCAAAAGGATTAAACAAAACCTAAGAGAAAAATAGTTTGAGTACATTATCCCTTTTTTTTTAATGTCACAAAAAAATTAAAACCCATATTTATCTGTAGTTACATTAATCTATTTTTTCCCTACAAAAGCTCAGTAAGTACAGCAGGAAATATACTACATAAAATGCTACCACTTACGTGACCTCAGATTCTCCCAGTAATCCTACATGCTATTGCATAAACAGCATTTTATCCCTATTTTACACAAGGGCAAACTCTTCAAGAAAACTTGATATAATAAGAGTTAGACAAATCAGGTGTTCTGACTCCAAATCAAATGCTTTAAAGATCTTGCTTTCTCAATGACAGCCCACTCTAAAAGTATTTGGGAACTTACTTCAATGAATGAAATAAACCTACTTCCTTTAACTTACACTTCTGGGATGAGTTTTTCATCATTACTACCCAGCAAAATTTCAAAATCTTTCAATTCAAAATCTCTGATTAAAAAGAATTCTTTTTTTTTTTTAAAGATTTTATTTATTTATTCATATAGAACTGGGGTACAGGCCAGAGATCCGGAGGGTGAGAGGATTCAGCAGAGACAGAGTGGGGAGCAGAACAGGCAGATCGACAAAGTACACTGCTGAGGGGAGCAGCGGGCAGGTCAGGAATCGAACTCATGCGGAAGTGGCTTAAGCTTTGTAGTGCAGTGCTTTAACCCACTGCACCACCAGGGAGGGCCTAAAAAGAATTTTAATGAAAAATTATCCCTCCATAAATTAGAGATAAAACTTGAGCTGTGGTAATTTAGGACAGTCTTCATCCAACCATTTAATAATATCAATAATCAGTTTCTCTGATTTAAGAATTTAAGAACTGTATCCCATGATAAACATGTTCCTTACCTCACAACTTTTTATTCTGTGTGGATTTCGTGGTCTTTCTTCATCATCAATGTCTACTTCTGTCAGTCGCAGCATGTTATATATTGTATCTCCTGTAACCTATCAAATAAAAAAGAAACTTTATTTGTCAATTCCAGTATTTGCTCTTTAAATAAGAGGGGGCTTTTGGGAATATTTTTAAAATAAAGAAAATGTCCTACTTTACCTGAGAGCATATACATGAAATAACTTAAAGAGAAATTTCATTTTAAGAGAAAAAATGCACAGAGACTTTAATCCCTCAATTAGTTTTTTTTAATTTGCAAAATATACTAGTAAGAGATTTTATTGAAATATAATATAAAAAAACTGCCTACTAAAAGCCAACTTTTCATGCAACTATCATAAATGAATACAGATGTTAGAATAGGATAACATAAGCAAGTAAGAATAACCATGTGGTGAATGTTTTGCATACACTCAATCTAAAAGCTACTACCACTATCTTCTTCCAGATAAGAGAAGATATTCAAAGAGGTTACAGAGTCAGTAACTTCTAACACTAAGTTATACTCTAGTCTGTAAAATATAATTTATATAATCTCAGTTGCTAACAGTGGTACAGAATGGCAACCTAAAACTCATTGGGTTACTATACTTTTATTTACTTATTTATGTATTTTTGTACTTATTTATTTATTTTTTAAAGATTTACTTATTCATACAGAACTGAGGTACAGGCCAGAGATGCAGAGGGTGAAAGGATTCACCAGGGACAGAGTGGGGAGCAGAACAGGCAGATCGAGGAATTACACTGCTGAGGGGAGCAGTGAGCGGGTCAGGAGAGGTCTGCTACGCCATGTGGATTTCCTGGGACAGGCGGGGATCGAACTCATGTGGAAGTGGCTTAAGCTTCTTAGTGCAGTGCTTTAACCTGCTGCGCCACAAGGGAGGGCCCATTATTTTTTAAAAGATAGAGAATTCTATAAATGAGACAACAACCTGTGTTGGTTGAGTGGCTCAAATGTCCCAACACATTTCTTAACTAGGTTGTTAGATATTAAGCAACAATTTTTTTTGCATATTTTAGCATGACTCCATTCATTCAACACTTCTCAAGGGATTTAAAATAATGTCAGCTTTCCAGCTGTGCTGTTTGATTTTTCCCTTTTATCATTTTGCCTAGGCAAAATCATTTTGCCTAGGATGCGACAACCCTACTGAACCAGCAGAGGGAGCTGAATATCTGTGATGTTAAGTCAAAACTTAATCACATATTTCTGAGAAGCACTGTAAGGGAAAACCTTCATAAATTCCTATTTAAAGAAAATTTTATATGAATTGCATTACCTGTTATGACACTTAATGGATTACATGTACTAAAAATGTACTATTCCAACCAACATTTCCATTAAAGTTCTAATGCTACCACAATTTCCACCTTAAACTTAAGGGGAACTCATTAATATTTAAACTACTAAATTTTATTACCTAAATATCTCTCTAAATCTGTAGAAACAATATCTCTGTGACATAGTAGTTAATAACATTAGTATGATTTCAGAAAAAAAGAAATAAAGTCATAATCAGCGACTTGAAAAACTCAAAAAAGAGCACAAGGGTGTTCCCTTATAGTTCACGATATAGAACCATATTCCACATTTTTTTAAATATTAGAAAAAATATTCTAAGGAATATTTTTGTAAAGTCAACTCTTAGACAAGTTAATCATATCATCATAGAAGCCAAAGATAACTGTACTCAAACCTTTCCAAAGATGGTGTGCTTATTGTTAAGTTCATCAGCTCGACCCAGGGTAAAGAAAAACTGACTGCCGTTATCATGAGGACCAGCATTTGCCATGGCAACCAGTCCTCTCCTATTAAAACGCAACCGTGAGTGGAATTCATCCTGAAACATAATAAAGAAAGGATTTAGTGATGACCTCAGTCATAGGGCCCTTATTATTCAGCTAACCAGCACGGTCCCATATAACTTCTACTAAAAAAAAAATGCAGCTTTAATTATCTGGTTTTCAAGTACAAATCTAATCCAATATTTATTATTCTTTCAATGCTACTGAACTTGACTTCACTGGCATATACGTAAATCCTAACTATACCCAGATACCAATTTAGCCTATTTTGTGGAGTACTGTGTACTTACACATAAAGGAAGGATACTCAAAAGAAAATCAATTTTTAAGTCTTTCCCCTATTTTTTCCATTCTTTAAAATCATCATGAAACCTTCTATTATTTCCTCAAGAAAAAATGCCTTGAGGACAAAGATAATAATAGAAAAAGAAAGAAAAATTTAAAAAGGGAAAGAAAAAAATCAGTAAAATTGTCTTTTGATTCATTACAGTTTCAACCATTGCCCCTTTCTAGCCCACTTTAAATATTATGAAATAACTGGTTTGTTCTTGTTTTTTAATTCAAGGAATCTATTATAATTGTGTTACATGCTTTACCTGTTATGCAAAAATTTTCAGTTTTCATTAAGAACAGGAGCAAGTTTTTCTGGGCTCATTTGTAATATGTTAAATTTGTAATATGTTAAATAATCAATACTTTTCAGAGAGGAAGTTATTTTTCTTCAATAAATAAATACAAAAATTTGAACTCAGTAAAACTCTGTGTAATATACTAAAAATGATTTAATTTAAAATAAGGTAATTATATTACCTGAACATAGTAAAGCAAAATTCTCAAGTTAGAAGGGAATCATCTCTATTAGACTAAATAATAAAATAAACAAATACTTCCTACTGGATGGGTATTTCAAAAATCATGAGGTCTCAACTTGGTAAAACTGAAATAGTCTAACAGTGACATCTGAAACTTTTTCATAACCATTCCATATTTTCTTATCAGGAAATTAAAGCAAACAGAATATTTTTCTCAAAACCCAGTAAATGACTAAATTAAACTTCAGATACTCTATCCCACTAGCACAAACATGAGGTACTCTAAAACTGTATTTTTAAGCTCTATTGATATTACCCAAACAGAATGGTATTGATACATAGATACAATTTTTAAAGGTCTAACCCCAATGTATTTAAAGTGGGAACTGTAAGCAGATGAGGATTAAATAAAGTCATAAGGGAGGAGCCCTAATTACATAAGGCAGATCCTTTACAAGAGAAGAAGAGATGCCCGAGCTCTCTCATTCAACCATGTGAAGATACATCAAGAAGGTAGCCATTCACAAGTCAGGATAAGAACCTTTACCAGGAATTGAATGACAATACCTTGCTCTTGAACTTCCTAGTTTCAAGAACTATGTTTGTTTTTGTGATGGTAATTTTGTTTTGAGGGCCCAAGGAAAAAAAACACAAATTCCAAGAAATTTTAATAAGATATTTAAAAAATAGAATAGCATATGCAAAGTTGTAAAAATGGTTTACATTTACAGAGTTGCAGGGATCAGATATAGTCAGACATCAGGAAATATGCTGGGTAGTCTTTTTTTTTTTTTCAACAATTTCCTTTCTGCCATCTTTAGCTCCACATGAATTCAAGCGAGTATCAAAGTTTGCAGTAATACAATTGAGAAAGAATGTTTGAAAATTGCTGCTGTTATACTTGTACAATCCTCAATGTGCAATTTTAATGCATTAATGTGAAATGCATTGTATGAGGGGCAGGCACAATAATTTTTGATTAAATAATCCATGCTGACTTGTAAATAATAAAAATCATTCTCACCTTGAATGGGGCTCCGTAGACAGACTCTCCACCAGTCCCTGTGCCAGTAGGGTCTCCCCCTTGGACTATAAAGCCAGGTACAACTCTATGGAAAATGGTGTTGTCATAATATGCTGGAAAAAAATTAAAAGTAATTTTCCAAGGTCTAAGATGAAGTGTATAAGTTTCAAAATTAATGGAACTAAAATCACAAGACTTTTCCCCAGAATTTTTAGACTACTAAACCAAAACCTTTACTTTCCTTTTATTATAAAATATGTACTCAAGACAATAACTTCTGTAGAAACTATAATTGTTATATTGTATGTGTTTCCAGGATTCTCTCAAACACTGGATTATGTTGTCTAAATAAAAATTAGAGAATTTTGATATTGGTCAAGGGTTTTCAAAAGGGAGAGGGGAGCAGCAACTTTGTTCCTTGGCAACATTTATAGTTGTCTGGATGTATTTGGTGGTCATATGTAGGAGATGCTATTGGCATATGGTGGATTGAAGCCAGAGAGGACAAACCCATAAAAAGAAATACTAGCCCAAAATGTCAACACTGCTGAGGCTGAGAAACCCTTATAGATATAAATGTCTATTTCCTAATTCCTCCTCTTCTCCCAATATACAATAATTTTATATAATATATAAGCCCACAATAGATCAATGTATTCACTGATTACAGATCTACCTCCATAAATGTCCCCCAAAAATGTTTCAATTAATAAAACAAATAATCAGCATAATATATAACTGAATCCAATTAGACTCTTAGTAAGTCTGCTAAGTTGAAAGAAATTAACAGTATTCATATAAAATATATCATTGGAAAGGTATAAACATATAGGAGGAACCATACATGTATGAACTCCTAATAGTATTCATTACCTGGAACCTATAATCAGTAGAGAGACTTCACAGAAGAGAAAGGAAATAGGCCAGGTAATAGCATGGCCTCTCCATGAGGCAAGGATGAGCAAAAAATTTGGTGGGGGTGGAAAGATAAGGACCAGAGTTTACATTAGTAACAATGGTCAATGTTCACATGAAAATATTCTCAACATTACTAGTCATTTCAGAAATGCATTTGCAAAGTGTAATTGGATATAAAATTCTTGTTTCAAAAAAAATCTGTAATCTGTAATCTAAGAACTGTATCCAGTACATAAGATTGATTGCAAGAAGTAAGAAGATCATCGGATTTTTTCCAAGTGAGGAGCTATTGGGCTATATTCATAAGTTTCCTAGCACAGATAAGTTCTCCTTTGTTACAGACAGAAACTGTACAAAGCAAGAGTTCTACAAATATCTATTCTATATTTTTAAATAACCATTTATTTAGACCAACACTGTATGTAGCAGTCAGGAATTCTAATTCTTGCCTCTTATTAGCTGCTTAAACTCAATAATCTGAAATTAAATAGGATATGTGAAGGTAACTAAAAATTATTAAATTCAACAAATTCAAAATGTGAGCTCAAACATTGCTATCTTTACTGAAATTCTACACATTCATTCACATTTTAATATAAAACCTACCCCAATATATAACATAAAATGAAAATAATCCTTTAGGCCCATAATATGCAGTGAGTCACATTATTTGAGTCCAGGATGCGAGAAAAAGAGGTGAGTGAAAGTGAAAAAGCTAGACAGATAAAGAGACTTATTTTAAGAGCTAAAATATGACTACGACTTTTCTTGAGACACAGATTCAAGAATTCTCTGGGAAGTAGGATTAAAGAGTCAGAGATCTAGGAATGATGGAAAGGGGAGGCTAAGAACTTTAAGTGTGTACACCATTTAGTTGAGACCCATGTCAGAGTCTGCTCCCACTCCTTCAGTTTTATTCACTTGCTTTTTAATTTTTATTCATTTGCTTTTAAATTCTGGAAACCATGACTTTCTCTTTAAAATACCATTATGAAACTAAGAAAGATCTAGAAATTACAAGACTTGCTTAAATCTTAGACTCAAAGAATTAAATGGGTTTCTCTGAATTATATTTTTTAATTCTTGACATTATTCACAGTATAACTTATTAAAATGATCCTTATTTAAATTATTCTTCCTTGGCTTCTTTTCACCTTTGTAATAATTATATCTATCTTACTGTTCAAGTAAGAGATTTGCTCTAGTTACTTCCTATAGTTCTTTATTTTTCTTCCTCCTTGTGTTCTTATAATTATGGGGGAAATTGTTGTAGTAATTAAGATCATCATTCTCTAACTTAAGAACCTTCTTTCTTCTTTGTTGTCATATTATATCCAGATGTTTTCTGTTTCTTTCATTCACCTGGTCATGGATTATAATTTGCCATTCATTCTTTCTAATGTTTTTATACTTTCACTCTTTTCCTATAAAACTGAAGTCTTTGATTCTTCAAAAAACTTCTTTCCAGAAACAACTCTGACTATTGTCTAATGTGTTTCTCAGTTCTGTTGACAGTTATTTGAGGCTTCTCTAACTGAACTACCTATCTGACTCACTTTCCTTCCTGCCTGCAATAGCAATTATTAATAATGGTCTTTGCAGATGTCTTTTCTCTTTTTTCTTTTCTGGAAGGCCTTTCTTCAATTTTTCAATGGTAAGTATGTATTTGTCTGATTATCTATTAGAAGAGTTCTTCCTGTACGCTACTACTATTTATTTTAGATTCTCTTTTATACCTTGCTTTTGACCAAAACTTGTTTTCTGCTACTAATTAAACTTGTCTGTCAAGTTTACAAGCTCAGATATATTGCAGAAGGACAAAAATTTACCTGCAAGGGAGACATTTAAAAACATACACAAGTGTAGTCTAAAAGCCAACAAGTTATAAAAATGTTTGGAATGTTTCGTTCCTAAAGGAATATAGTCAAGGAAAATACACAAGTGGATGTAATTCTATGAAACTGGGTAAAAAGAAAAATAGTTCTTTATGATTCAAATTTTAAAAAAATACTAGAGATATTGATATTAACCATCATTGAATGCTAGATGGAAGATTTCATGAAGAAAGTGGAATTTTGAACAGACATTTAAAAACAGGTAGGCTTGAACAGTAAAGAAGAAAAGAGAAAGTACTTCCCCAAAGATAGGATATGTGTGAAAATGAAAATGGGAAAGAACTGCTCAGAAAATAAAAGTAATGCTGCTGAAACCATGTGGTTATTTAGGGGAATAAAAAATAAGTTTGGAAAGCTAGAAAGTCAAGATGCCTAAGGATTCAAATACCATAAAGTAAATAAAAAGGTAAAGGCAAAGGTAAATTACAATGATGTGGAAGAAAGTTGAGAGAGTCTAGGAAATAAACTGGTAAATTGGCTTTATACTGGTTTCATCATTGTTGATGGTAGATGATTTGAGTAGAAAGCCCACTAGGCAATTAGATATTGGGTTTAAGAATAGAAGAAATGGCTAAAAGTGTAAGTTATAAATGCTCCCATCAGTGGGATAGGAGTAACAATTGAAAAGTAAAGACAATAGAGAATTAGAGACTGTCTTAGAAGATACCATGGTTAGAGGGTGAAATAAAGTGGGAAATAGCAAGGGGAACAAAGCAAAAATGATAAAATATTTGATAATAAATTTCTCCATTAAAATTATATAGATTCATTTCAGGGAAATGAATTTATCTCCTCTCCATTTCTTCATACCTAGCTTAATACCTTAAACTCATATCAACTTCTTTCACTCATTACCACAATTTAGCACCAGTCTTCAATTAAAATAGTACATTGCTATTTATATTTAAATTAACAAAATGTATCCTATAGAATAAAACTAAAATAGTACACTGCTATTTATATTTAAATTAACAAAATGTATCCTATAGAATAAAACTTAGGAATGATTACCTTCTAAACAAAGTTGAATAAAATTTCTGCAAGCTTTAGGTGTTTCTTTTGACCACAATTCTATGTCAATGTCTCCAGCTGTTGTTTTCAATAAAACCTATAGAAAAATATTACATGATTATTGTCATTCTGCTAGATATTAAGAAGTGCTTGAAGCATCTACTAATGAGTTTTCAATTTTAAAGTAAAAACTAGAAACTCTGCCTTGCTTTTGTTACATATTAGAAATTTTTCAAATATTTACCACACTTGTATATTTATATTTTTCAAATAACATTTTTCAAAAACTAATTTAGAACTTAAGAAAAATAGCATATGCCTTTTTCATAAAAAGAAACTCAATAATTTAACTTATTTTAATTAAGAAAGCTTCCTACTACATTACATTCAATAAAATTGTAACAAATTAAAAATTAAAAAACAATAAGCCCATGAAATTTTGAAGCTGTAAGACAATTTTACAATTTTGCCTTTTTATATACTTTCTCCTTCAAAAACCATGATCTTTCTAATTTATAAAAGCAACATTCTTAAGTCTGTGTTGTCTCCTTACTAAAGCGGTATATACCGCTTGTGATTCTCTTTCTACCAGCTTATGAAGATGGTTACTCCTTGGTAGAACCAACCATCTTAAAACAACCAGAACCCTAATGGGTCCAGAAGAAAAAAAAATCTGTTTAATTGTCTTATTAAAACCCACAAGTAACCAAAAGAGAATTTTAGACTCTAAATTTGAGCACTGAAGCACAGCTACAGTCTAGCTTCTCCAGTATCATTTTTCTCATTCAGTGAGCCAAAATGGGTCGGTGTCAATAACTGATCAATGGTCAATGACTACAGTGTAAAATGTTCACACAAATAAACACTATGCAGTGTGATTATATAGATATAAAAAGACTTATTCTTACTGGAAGTGTGTATCTAACTCACACATATATTTCCTTTAATTCTTCTCCCCTGGCTACTACATTTACCAAAATTCTGTTATCAATTTACATACATTTTTTGAAAGTGGAATGAAGTTTAAAAATCATTCAGTTGAGCCCCCATCTTATAGAGAGGCCTGATGAAAGTAAATCTACCCACTTTAGAGAGCTATTAAGTAGCAAAGCAGGGACAGCAGTAATTCTCTACTCCCTCCACACTTTTGTTACAACCGCCTTTGAATTTGTTTCACTCAAATTATTGCCAATTTTTAATTGGCTACTTAGTTTTCTTTTTCAATGACCATGAAGGCAGGAGGTAAAAAGATCTTTACTGTGGTAAGCTTGAAAATGGTTTCTTCCTATTCAAAAAAATAAGAATACATCTCATAAAATTGTTTCCTTAACCATTTAAATTATGCAAACATGCATAATTTTCTATATTCATTACACTTCCTTTACACAGTGAAGGAAATGTGTTCAGTTTCTTCCACAGTGTCTGTTTCTGTGACATTTTATACATGCTATTTCAGTTAATCCACTTGTATAAGTAGTTTTCATTACTCCCATTCAATTGTAAAAAGACTCAAGCAGTAACTTTATCTAAGGTGACACAATGAACAATTTAGGCTAATGGCTGACTGGCTGCAAAGTCACTGCTTTGTCTATACACCCTACTGCTTACACAAGGTGCTCCACAAACTCCACACTATTCTAGAAAAATAGTCCATCAGCTTGAAGGCCCTGCCACAGGTTTTAAAAGAAATCTCCAGGTAACCACAGTCATAAATGATTTGAAAGAAAACAGTGCGTAAGTCAAAGCAATCACATGTTGGCTACACTTGAAAAAGGTCTTCCAACTTGTCTTGGGTTGAAACAAAACCCATGTTGGATGGTGATAAATTGGATTCTCACTCTCCTGAGAAGCAAACACTTGGGATGCAAGTAACTCCTTCCACCACTAATAGTATCTAGAACAACACTCTGCAACATCTTCTGAGTTGCCATGAGGGGAGATATACAATTTAATTCCAATAATACAATGTAGCTAAAAAGACAGTTAACCTGCCTACTTCATTCCCCCACCCCACCACCACCACCACACACACATATGAAATAAAGCAGTTATTAAATGAAACCTAGATATGTCTTTTTTTTTTTTTTTAAAGATTTATTTATTTGTGCATGCAGAGCTGGGGTACAGGCCAGAGGCTCAGGGGAAGCGAGAGGCTTCACCAGAGACAGAGAGGGGAGCAAAATAGGCAGATACACGAAGTACACTGCTGAGGGGAGCAGCAGGTGGGTCAGGAGAGGTCTGCCATGCCCTGTGGTCACCTCCGGGGCAGGCGGGAATCAAACCCATGCGGAAGTGGCTTAAGATTCTTAGTGCTGTGCTTTAACTCGCTGTGCCACCAGGAAGGGCCGAAACCTAGATATGTCTTTAAAACTCTAAGGCAATTATCTCTAAACAGTTTTAAGTCTATCCCTATAAGCAAATGAGAAAAAAGGGATAGGAAGGAAGCTAAGGACTTAGAGAACACAAACCCAAAATTTGTATATTTAAGTACAAGTACTTAACTACTTTCATATTTTGTAAGACACACACAAAACCAAAACTTTAGATAATAACATAAAATTTTAATGCAATTTTTAAATTTACTTTTAATGGTACAATGACCTTTTTAAATAAAAGTGTTATAGAGATATCATTCACATAGCATGATAATTCACGCTTTTAAATTATACAATTCAGTGAATTTTAGTAGAACCCACAGTTATGTTACCACTATGGCTACCAGAACATCTCATCATCCCAAAAAGAAGCCTTACCTCTTAGTTGTCACTCTCCATTTCTCCCAACTCTTCTCTCCTGGCTACCACTAATCTACTTTCTGTCTCTGTACATGTGCCTATTGAACACTTTATTGAAATGGAATCAGACAATATGCCTTTTGTGTTTGACTTCTTTCACTTAGCATAACACTGCTTTGCAATTATAGAAGTACTTCTTCCTGTTCCATACACTTAATTTTTTTTTTTTAAGATTTATTTATTTGTGCATACAGAACTAGGGTACAGGCCAGAAGCACAGGGATGGTGAGAGGCTTCACCAGAGACAGTGGGGAGCAGAACAGGCAGATCAACGAAGTACACTGCTGAGGGGAGCAGCGGGGGGTCAGGAGAGGTCTGCAGCCCCAGTCCCATGTGGCCACCTTTGGAGTAGCGGGGGTCGAACTCATACAGAAGTGTTAGTGCTGTGCTTTAACTCACTGCACCAGGAGGGAGGGCCCATACACTTAATTTTTAAATGTATTGAAAATTACAAATTACGGGCCCTCCCTCGTGGCGCAGCGGGTTAAAGCACAGCACTAAAAAGCTTAAGCCACTTCTGCATGAGTTCAATCCCCGCCTGCCCCGGAGGTGACCACATGGCGTGGCAGACCTCTCCTGACCAGCCCGCTGCTCCCCTCAGCAGTGTACTCCATCGATCTGCCTGTTCTGCTCCCCACTCTGTCCCTGGTGAATCCTCTCACCCTCCGCATCTCTGGCCTGTATCCCAGTTCTGTATGAATAAATAAATAAATCTTTAAAAAAAAAAAAAGAAAATTACAAATTATAATTATATTCTTTCCAATAAATCTGCTAAGGCACAATATACTATAAGACAAAGTTTACCACAAACAGTGAAATTTCATTTTTCAAATGTTTTTCATAATAATTTCCAACTTTTAAGACTTCTCATACTGAGGAATTAGCTCTAACCTTTTCTTATGGCTTGCTTATGCTTACATTATTAGTATTATCTTTAATATGAAATTAGTGAGGTTTAATTAATTTAGATACCATGGAATATAAGTATCTGTTCAGAAAATTAAATGATATATAAAGAGCAACTGAATAGATAACTGAAATTTTATGTTCCCTTTTATATATTAAATATCACATTTAAATAGGCATAGGTAGATTTTCTGTTTGAGTTCCACGGCTTTGCACCCCTTCCCCACTGAAGTGTACTCACTGATTTAGAAGTCAGTGCTCTAAAAAACAAACTAACGCATATCATCCCACTTACTACAGGCTGATATAATCAGATATTTTCCTCCCTTCGAGGATACTTTCCTTAGCTTCATGACCTTGGGTATGATATCTTAACATTTCCATGACTCAATTTCCCTATCCAAAAACTGAGCTAACACCCTCATAAGTTTGTTGTGAGAACCATGCCCAACAAATAGTAATTGCTCAAAAAATGGTAGTTATTACTGTTATAATTTTCTTTTATAAGCAACAAAGAATGCATATATGGTTGAGCCAGGGTTCCTTAAAATCTTTTCACTAATAAACTACTGAATTAAAAAGAAGCATATGGCTCCTTCCTCTTTTACCTGTACGTGCCCATAGGCCATCACTAACTTGTCAGACACTGGTGGTTCCTTTTCTTAAAGCTCCCAAATAATTTAGTGTTTTGAAAATAAAATAACTCAAGAATAAATATATGTGTTAATGTCATTTAGATCAAATGATTACAATATGTGGAAATTCCATCTTCAGTGAAAAAAGGGTATTTCTATCAAGGGGTACGTTTCTGTGCCTCATCTCTAGAAGTTAGAGTGACAGCATAACACAGCAAAATTCAGTACACAGCCAGACAATGGCCAGGGATCAACTATTAGTATAATGTGTCAATTATCTCCCAAATTTATACTATGCTCTTTGAACAGAGGAATTATATTACATTTATTCTAAAGATCTCTGTATCCTTTCAATATTTAAGGCATTCAATACTGCCAGTATAAGATTAAAAAAACATTCATCTACCAATCTGGTTTTTACACTTGCATTAAATTCTTTGCAGGCCAAAATTTTTTGCCAGGCCCTCTTCAGCACCTAACTTTAAAACTTCAATGTTTATAATCCATCTTATTTGCAGAAAAGTTAAAATTATTTTTGAAGAAAAAATGTGTTCATATGAAAGAGAGTATTCATCATGATTTGCATACTTAGCTATATTATTATTTGATCATTGTATTTCACTCAAATGACTTCATAATAGGGACGATGCTGACTTTTCTTTCCATTATATACTTAAAACCTAGCAGAGAGCCTGGAATATGCTACCTGCTCTATAAGTATTTGTTAGAAAGAGACTTCCTATTCAGTCATGTGTCTTTCTTACAGTTTTAATATTTATATTTTCAAACGGCCCTCATTATATTACCAGTATCAATAAGGGACTGCACAATTTGTGAGTCATGCAACAGAATTGTATCTGATGTAAACAGTTAATTCTAATTCAACAGTTCACTTTTAGTCCCACGATTTTCTCCATTATGCTGCTTCATCATGTTTTTTGTGTGATGGAAACTAGGTCTCAGTTCAAGAATACAGCCCATATCTCCTCCACTACTGATTCCTCTACTTCTCCCTGCATATAAACACTTTGGGCACTCTGGGCAGGGACTGGCATACCCACCTATCAATCCGGTAGTCATTCTTTCATTCTAATGTGGCAACATTTCCATTCCCTGCTTTGACAATCATCTCATGTTTTAAGATCAGCTAAAAGCTAATTCCTTCGTGAAGCTTCTCTCTACTTTTCCCCAGTTACTAACTTCTCAGTACAACCACAGTAATACATGTCTCTCTCAAAAGGTCACCTACCAGACCTGACGTTGTTCTTCACCTGCCTTTCTCCTAAACTAAACCATAAACTCTTCTAGAGACGTTACGAGATCTTATCCATGAATCTTTGTATCCCTAACGCCTAGTACTATCGTCCATTGCCTAGTAGGCATTCAGTAAATGATTGTAGAAGAACGGAGAAAGAGAGATCTCCAAATAAAGAAAATATGTTAATTTTTTAAATGTACTTGAGTTTGTTTGTTTCTAACCTAAGAACTAGAGAACACCTACGTATGTTAGATTGTGTCAGGAAACATAACTAGAAGGCTAACAGATGGAAATATCTTCACTTGAAGACTTTTTCAAGTACATGCTGAAAAGTGTCAAGAGTTTCGATTCCATCCAGTTCAGAGGCAGGGGTAGGGATAGGACTTGGGGTCTCTTCCAACTCTAAGATCAGTGAATTCATGGAGGTCTCAGTTTGGAGAGCCCACATAGCCTAATTAAGGTTCTCACCTTCCCGTTGGTGGGAGGTTCCTGGATGTAGATGTTGCTCATGCTGGTCGGTGCTCAGAACTCTTGCTCCTAACTGGGAGTGAGAACAGACGGCCGACCACTAACGCTGGCCTCCTATCCGTATACGTCTCCTTATGTCCGGTCGACGAACGCTCCACTCAGTCGGTAACTCTCCAGACAGCGACACCAGTTCCTACTTTTCCCAAAGCAAGCCCTTCACGAACGCTTCCATGTTGGTCCGGACCCGAGCACCGCTAAATCCGAATAGGGGGAATCAATGCCTCCCACCAGGGGAAAAGAAAGACTATTAAACGACTGTAAATTAATTTAATGTGCATTTAAATCGTCAAAAGAGTATTCAGTAGGTACTGGTGTTGTTTATTTCACTACACAAATGTGCAGGTCTCCCTCGTCCCCCGAAGCTTTCCAGTAATGGTTCAAACCATGTGTCACTGCAATAAGCCTCCTCCGGAAACTGCATCGGTGGCTACTTGGTTCTGCTATTACGAGACTTATGGGCCCTTCTACTGTCACGCAGGTCCCGCGGCGCAGGTGGGAGCAAGAGGCCGCTCTCGCAGTGCGTTGTCCTCGCGGCGGGAGGGAAGCAAGTGAGCTCTTAAAAGTGTAGGGCTCCTGCGACCCCTCTTACCAGCGCCATGGCAGTCCCAGGTGAAGATTAACGGCTGGGTGCCCATGTCTGGGAGGATAAGGGAGAGGCGGCTCGGGGAGGTCCGGGTGCGCTGGGATGGGAAGTAACGTCTATGGGGATTTAGGCGGCGGCGTTACAATTAATACTCTGGGTTGGTTTACATGAAAAGTTTAAGCTTGAAAACTAAACTCTGAAAGAAAGGAAAAAATTACCTCCCCCGCCCTGGCCAAGCCTCAGCGGATCTCGTCGTATTACGGGGCAAGTGTATCTTATCTCGGGTGGTGAAAGAAGAGAGCGACATTAACTGCAGGCCTAAGGGCGGGTGCCCAGAAAAATTGAGATCAACTTTCATAAGGCTTAAAAATGGTATTTGGAGGGGGAAACACTTGACTGGCCCAAGGAGCCATAGGCATTGTTCCTAGTGGAAGTCGCGGGTACGAAATGGGCGCTTGAGATTCTATTTCTTGCTCTTGCTGTTGCATGTAGTTGCTGTGCAGTCTTGGACCCGCCGCTCTGCCCTTCTGGGCCCCAATTTGCGCATCTGTAAAAGATTGAGTTTTGCTGATTAAGTCGATGGTGCCTGCCAGTTCGCATATTCTGTGCCCGAAGGGTACCGACCGAAAAAGCAGTCACCTCGCGAAATTAAGTGCTTCATAGATTTCTCCTCTACAATTACCAGTTGTTTTTTTTTTTGAAGTTTGGGAAAAAAAAAAAAAAAAAGGACATCTTCTTCTTAAAACCAGCCTTGCCACAAAGGGTTCTGCGGAACACTTTTAAGGGAGATAGTTTGAGAAATACACGCACGTGCGCGCATACACATGCCCACCACTCGGGAGATTTTACAGCGCACTTAGGTGTAGAAAAGACTGAGATGTGCCATGGTGCAGAAGCCCTTACTTTGCTTTAACCTGTCCTTCCAGTATTACTTGACCACATTTGTTCTGTGGCAGCCGTTTCTGAACTTCTGAACCTTATTTTGAAGGTAACTGTTACCGGAGGGTTATGCTTTTCTACCCACTGCAGTTTGAGAAGAAACACAAATGAAATTGTGAGAAAGAGAAGGTACACTCATTTCCTCATATAACAGTCTTTACTAGGTATCCACTGTGTGCCTGTTGGAAATACAGTGTGAGCAAGACAGTAGCTCATTAGACAGAACTTACAGTTCAGCAGTGAAGAGACAGTATCAGAAAGTTAAGCAAGTACTGAATAGGGAAAACAAAGTTTCAGGAGTACATATTAAGAATACCTAACAGGAAACAGGAAAGTCTCCCAGACGGTGTCTCATTTAGGATGAAACCTGAAGGACTGCAGAAGTGATAGGGTGCTAGAAGGGTGAGTTGCGGTATAGGGATTGAATAAATTAGGAAGAGAAAGTGAAAGATGTGTGCTTGGATAAAACTCAGTACCAATGGAAGAAAAGAACAAAATTAACAAGAGAGCTAATAGTAGCTAATCTTTTACTAAGCATTTATTATGTTTCAGCCACCATATCAAACATTGTGCTTTATCTCATGTACCACCTGCACTGAAGTAGGTATTAATAATTCCATCTTGCAGGAGAGGATACTGAAGGACAGAAATCAAGTGATTTGCTCATTATGTGACAGCTAGTAAGTGGCTATTTAACTCCTTTAGACCTGTGTGCTTATATATTTTATCATGTTATGGTATAATTTACAAGGTACCGCTTAAGGCACCTCATAAATCACAACAAAAAGTTTGGATATTTTCCTAAGATAATAGGAAGCCATTTAAGGGTTTTTGAACACTTTTGCATTTTGGAAAGATTGTTCTGTCTACATGGTAGGTTGGAGGGGAGTTGATGTGGAGGCAGAGTCATCAGTTAGGAGAAATTCTGGTGAGTTCTGAAGATGTCCCATGTATGGACTCAGTGGGAAAGAAAACAAGTAGATAGATTGAAGATGAATTTTTGATGGTAAAATCATTTGGAATCTGATTGATTCAGTTTGCAAGAGTAATAGAGAAATGAGGTATACCTGGGATTCACTGTTATATATCATCTGAGAAGGAGCATTTTCTAGGGGGATGATGACTACAGTTTGGGGCATGTGTTGAGGTTTAGTCAGATACAAAATTATAAAAATATCCAGTAGACAAAGAAAATTTGTAGCTTAGAAAAGAAGACAAAGTCAAAGACAAGAATTTGCATGTCATCCAAATGTGTAAGTATTATAGGAATTGAGGTCATGGGAGCGGACGAGTTTGTTTAGGTGAAGTATGTAAAATGTGAAGGTCTGTAGTTGAAGCCTGGATTAATACCCACATGTAAGTGGGAGGCAGACTGGTCAGTCTTCACAAGGATTACTGAAGCATCCTAGCAGTGGAAGCCTGCCCTGGTGATCTTTGAATCACATAGTTGCATCCAAAGCTGACCTATTATCACTGTTCATTTTCTTACCTGAACAAGCATTGATATGTTACAGACTCTCTGAGGCACATTGTGTAACAGTGTAAACCTTTGTAAACCCTAAGCCTGGTAATGAGCATGCGCTGCTTAAGAAAGAGAATAAAAGTGATTTTTAAACCCCTAGTGAAATTCCCTTAAACCTTGGGTGAGGTTATTGATAATTAACCCTCTTCCAATTCAAAATAATGCTTGAAAGTGTAGTGAACTTAAATTGTACCATTAAACTAGATGGCAGGATGTAAACTTTAAACCCAACCAAAATGATAGCATCCCTTTTAGATAATCAATGACAAGTATTGTGTTATGCTCTTATCTTTTTAGGTATAGTGCTTGTATGGATTCAGCATGGTTTTTCTTGGATGGTCCCTCTAGATATTATTGCAGGGTATAATTATGAATGAGGGAGGCTGCTTTCTATCGGTGAAGATCAGCCCAGTCTATTTAAGTCACCTACTTCAACTATTTTTTTACACATTGTGTGAAGCTACATCATTACATAATGCAATGAAATGGATGCTCTTAGGAAAACCATAGACTCTTAGTTGTTATTAAAGAAATAGCATTTCAATTAAAATTTTAGTGAAGTTTGCTTTCTTTTAAAAACTGCTTTTCCCATTCACATTTGTTGCAAGTTGTGGTTGGTACAAAAATTTATCTTTTCCTCTAGTACAGTGAGATTTATATAGAAGCAAAGTAGAGAATTTTCCTAGCCAAATTAGCATTACATCTGACATATCAAAGTCAATCAAATTCTCAAACCACATTACTGTAACATTTTTGTAATAGAATAATTCTAAATTATCCTACATCCACTTTCTTTTCACTTCTAACTTCTCCTAGATATAATTTCTCTGGTCTATTGCATTCATCAAAGGACCTTACAATATGGTCTTTCATCTATTCCATTTGACTTGAAATTCTAGTACCATTATTTCAACAAGTTCATATTCCCAACAACAGATAAGTTAACTTGAGCAGAAAAGTAAGGATACTAGGGAACTTACAGAATTTAAACAAAGACTATTAAAGCCCAGGAAATAGACAAGATCAAGGGAGTCCATAGCCAAAGTCTCCTCAAGGCCAACCTGGTCGGGCTCTGCTGCCAGTGGGCCATTGCAGTGGACACTGGACCCTGATGACAGAATTAACTGTTCCCACTTCAGTGTGTCACTTGTTTCTGATCTGTTGTATCGACTGTATCATTTATACTGTCAAGTAAAAAAGCTTTCATGAAAATAATAAACAAATGAAGCTGAACTTTTTTTTTTTTTTTTTTGAAGCTGAACTTTTAATTCAACCTGTCTGGTAAGGAAGTAGTTGATATGAGTTTATTTTATTTAAACTTCTTGTTATATTTCCCTTTCATGTAAAAATTAAACTTCGCTCAAGAAAATGGCGTATTTTTGGAAAAGCTTCATATTTTATTTATTCTGGAAATATGGAGTACTTAAAAATGAGTTTTATTAGTGTGTTTGGTCATAAAGTTATATTTTTAATACATGCTAAGATGGGTTATTTCAAATCTATTCATTAAAAGTGGTTATAGGAACAACAATAATGCATTCAACACAGTTTTATTTAATATTATTCATTGCTTATCTCTATGGAAACAGATATAATATAAACCCATATGCTCTGAGTTTTTTCTTCAACATGTAGTTATTTCATTATGAAAGAGTCTGCAATCTTATTACTAATACAGTTTCATTTTAAAGTTCTGCTACCGTACATCATTTGAGGCCCTATGCTATACCACAAGGTTATTGAAAAGAAGGAGATTGGGACACAACACTTGAAAACTTATTTAGTGACAAAAAGATACATACTTGATTAAAGCAGTAGCACAGCTTTAAACATGTTGATTAGAACACACATAAATGCTACAATGTGCAGGGCACTCTGTCATTAAAAGACCTTAGGTTTGCTGTCAAAGTAGACTTTTTTTTTTGTTTTTAAAGATTTATTTATTCATACAGAGCTGGGGTACAGGCCAGAGATGCAGAGGGTGAAAGGATTCACCAGGGACAGAGTGGGGAGCAGAACAGGCAGATCAATGAAGTACACTGCTGAGGGAAGCAGTGGGCGGGCCAGGAGAGGTCTGCCACGCCACGTGGATCTCCTCCGGGGCAGGTGGGGATCAAACTCATGAGGAAGTGGCTTTAGCTTCTTAGTGCAGTGCTTTAACCCGCTGCGCCACCAGGGAGGGCCCAAAGTAGACTTTTAAAGAATCCTAGCTTGTAAGCTGTTATGACGTAACAGTAGGAGGGTGAAGGTGGGAAGTTTTAACACCAGATGTCATGGGTGCTGCTCACAACACATACCACTCATAGGGTGAACTTAGGTCACTGGAAATGCTTGAAATTTGGGGTGGGGGTGGATGGTGGAGAATTGGGAGTGGTGAAGTGGGTGTTTTCCTGAGGTTGAGTACAACTGGACGTAGTTTTCTGACTTCTAACATTTTTCTTGGACAAAAGTCATGTTATGTTCAAATTATTCTCTCCTCTCTTACATTAATTGCTCTGAGAAGTAAATGTTCCTTAGTTAAGTCACCTCTGCAGCCTTGGGTTGGCATGTGTTAACTCAACACCATCTCATCTCATGGGCTTCACTTACCACTTTTTGGCACCTTGCTTGGGGCCACCCCAGGTACGGTTTTGGCAGGTCCCTGTGCTGCTAGGACCATTGTGACTGCCTCTTCAGAGAGCACAGCTGACAGATGGGTAGTGTCCATGCTGCACCATTTGTGCCAGCGTAGCACGGGCAGGAGCCCAAAGGCGTGGCTCCTCCTGGGTTTCAAAGAATGGGGCCACAGGGATCTGCTACCTGGAAGAGCAGTATTATTCTTCCTGCAGAGCCAGGCATGGCTTTCCCACCCCACTGGGCCTAAAAGGCAAAGCATTCAACTGAGAGATATCCTTAGAAATGTCATGCTGTTTGCTACATTCTATTCTCTACTGTCACTTTCTTCTTTCCTATTCCCCTCTTTTGGAATGGGACTGCGTAAGGCTCTAACTGACATAATAAAACAACAGAAATACTGAGAAAAAATGCATTTTTATTAATATTCAAAAGTTGAAACTTAAAGTAAAGTAACAAATTGGAAAAGATTATTTCACAATTGCATAGTTTGCTAATGGAATGAGTAGAAGGAAAAAAAAAAATCCTGGTACCAGTTCACTAACTTTTACACCATCCTACCTTTCAATAATTTTACATCATTGTATGTTATAATTTGTTTCAATTTAATTGAAAATTTCTTTCTAACAGCGTCTTTAGGATATCATGGTTATAGTTTAGCATAGTACTTCTGTGCAATTTGGCAACCACTTGTATGATAGGATACACAAAAACTAAAACACTGAGCACTTACATTTTACTTTAAAAAAACCTGTGGACCCATTTGACAGAAGATCAAACATCAAAATTGATAACTATTCCTTGATTGGCTTATATGCTAACAGTTTTTCAAGTGCCCCACCCGAATGGTCTAGTTGGCAGCAATTTTAATGTGAACATTCATTTGTAATGTAGTTTATATTTTAACAGAAAGGACTCATTGTAAAGTTATTTAATCATATCATGGACTGGTTGTAAAGAGTCATTATACTTGACTTGCTTGGCTTCCCAGGGTCATAGCTAGAGAGAATTTGCCTTTGTAGTTTCTACCTTAATTGTCACCCATAGCCTGCTTAGATAGGATTTAAATGTGATTTTGGAATTATACTTACAAGTTGACACAGAAACAATTTAAGACTTTGGGGACTATTGTATTAGAATGAATATATTTTGCATGTGAAAAGTATTTGAATTTTTGGCGGTAGGGGCAGGAGAGAAATGCTCTAGAATTTGGTTTCCCAAAATTAGTGTTGAACTCTAACCCAAATATGATGGCATTAGGAGGTAATGAGATTTAAGGGTGGAGCCACTTGGGATTATGACATATATAAGAGCTCTCAACACTCTCCTTTGATCCTTTCTGCTGAGACCACTGGAGAAGATGACCATCTATGAACCCAGAAGTAAGTTCTTAGCAGACACCAAGTCAGCTGGTTCCTTGAATTTTAACTTCCAGCATCAAGAACTTTAAAATTTAAATTATTTTTTAAAAAAGTTTACCAACAATTTTTTTTAGCTTTTTCATGTGACAATTTTTTTGTTTTTACTGTTTTATATGTCTCCTAAAATTATGCCCAATTATATTTCAGGTTGCAACAAGGACAGTGTTCGAGCAGGCTGTAAAAAATGTGGCTACCGTAAGTGTACTTAAAAAGTAACATTTCATTCAGTGGATACTTATGTCTTTGGATATTCCAAAGATGTCACAATGTGTATGTAATGTATAGTACTGTACCAGTTAAGAATTTGGAGAAAGTGTATTCCAAAAACCAAAAGTGTGTGTGTGTGTGTGTGTATACACTTCAGCATTGGTTTTCTTGAATACCAAGGATAGTAAACTTGTAATTTTTGTATCAGTTTTTGTATTAGAGTGTATTTGCCTGTGAATGTGTATCTGAGAACATCGGCTGTGTAATTTCTTACCATTGGTGGGCCATAATCAAAAAATTTGAAAGCTGCTGCTCTAGAGAAATACTGATAAATGTCTGCAAAGAGGCATTTACAGCTATTAATTTCAGCACTATTTGTAACAGCAAGTATTAGAAACAACCTAAGATTCTATCAGTGGTAGAAAGGATAAATATTATTTTTATACAATGAAACTTTTTAAATCAGAGAACACAAGATCATTACATCTCCTTATACTTATGTTGGCATCTTTATAAATGCCAATCATAAATATAAACATATAAATCAACAAGCATAATATTGAGTGAGGAGAAATAAATTATATATGATTAGTGAGTATAGTTGAGTTTATGTTTTTGTGTTAAAAAATAGCAACAGTATAATATGTTTGTGAAAATATGTACCAACTTCAATCTAGTTACTGCTGAAGGCCCTGGATGGTTTGTGGCGGAATCCCAAGGCTAGTAAAGCTATCCAGCATTCTGTGTGTGTGTGTAGGCACATGTGAGCATTTTCTCTTAGAAACTTTTTTTTTTCTTTTTTTTTTCTCTTAGAAACTTTTAATTGAATATGGGCATAATGTCAATACAGGGATATAGGTACATGGTATTGATTCTGTTATTTCCTATACTTTTCTGGGTTTTGTAATAATTGATTTTTGTAATTGCATCATGCTCTAACGAAGTAACTTGTAGTTTTTGATATGGAGAATCAATAGGGGATGAATGATAACAAGAATTAAAATTTTAGGTGTTCTTTGGAAGAACACATGAAGCTATTTAATGTGGCACCTTTAACTAGATGAAAATGATACAAATTCATGAGTAACATAGTCACATTGCAAAGGAAAGGGTTTAGGAAAGGAATAAAATATAAAATCCTAAGTATAAGGAAATGTTCTTTATACACACACAGGAAAAATATACTATGTGTTGAAATCCATTAGACACAGTCAAAAATGCTCATTAAATTAGAAGTTCTAATGAAGAAAGGCAAAAATTCTCTCTGAATGTTGCATTAGAGAATACAAACTACCACCCACAGAATCTAAATTACTGCTAAGCATTTTATTATCAAACTTGTAATTTATTGCTCACCATGTGTTAATAAAACAAAAAATGTATAATGTGTGTATAATTTTGCTCCCCACGTTTTTGTTTGCTTACTTAGCTGGTCACCTGACTTTTGAATGCCGTAATTTCCTCCGTGTGGATCCCAAAAGGGACATAGTTTTGGATGTCAGCAGCACAAGCAGCGAAGAAAGTGATGAAGAGAATGAAGAGCTGAATAAATTGCAGGCATTACAAGAAAAAAGTAAGCAATACATTTCTCTCCATCCTTTAAAAATTTCTAAAGACACTATATTATGTTTATTTCTTGTTCTATTATGTAGTAGCATTAAGATCGCTTCTGTATTATATACAAGAAGTGCTTCATAGGTAAGGAAACAGGCTTTAAGCACAGTAATATATCCAGAGTCAAATGACAGGTCAGAGATAGAACCTTGGAATAAGTCTATTTCTGCTTTCAGAACCCAGGTTTGGTTTTCTTTTACTTTATTTCCCCAGCATGTGTCACATAGTACAAAAAATCTGACTTTAGACATGGTCACTATTTGACCATTTTTTTAGCATGTGACTTTCAGCAAATTATTGAACCACGCTGAATTCAGTTTCTTTGTCAGCTAGCACAAAGGATTTGATTGTCAAATCACCCTCATTTAAATCAAATCTTACCCAGTATCATGTTTTACTAAGTAATCAAATGAGCATAAGAAGTTTCTACATTTTATTATTGTAAAAAGACTTTCAAAAGAAAGTGATTTCAGTTTTGAAAGGAAACATCTTAGTGTTATGTTTCATTAGTTGTATTTTCCAGGGAGTCATGTTGTCAAAGCCTTAGGATTATCTACCATAAACAATCTTACACAAACCAGGTATATCCTGCTCTGCATATTCTTTCCCTACTTGGTTTGGTCTCAGGCAAGCCATGGAGTGCCCACCTCATTGCAGCCTGCAGAGCAGAGAAGCCTGTATTCCCCCCTCAGTCCTGCTGTGAATGTTGCCTTAGTTTTTTCTGGGTGGTTAATTACAATAGGGCATTTAAAAGTTTCCTATCACTAGGCTGACTCTTTCTTAATCCTTTGGTGAGAGAGGATGTTGGTGCAATTTTCTCAGCATCTACTGACAACACTGGTTTGTCAGTTTCTTCCACTGCAAAATGTGAGCTGTATGAAACTAAAAGAAGTTTCAAGGAACTATAGTGAGTCTTTTGTTCTATTTTTTTTTATGTTTGTTTTTAGAAGATCTGGGGATTTTATTTATACTTAATGAAAATAATAGGAAATGTACATCTATTCCATCTTCCCAGAAGCAAAAGTCCAGCTGATTTTTGACAAGGTGGAAATGCAATTGTGTGTTGAAAGGGTAGTCTTTTCAACAAATACTGTTAAAATGATTGAATGCCCAAAAAAGTATTAAAAAAATGTTATAAAATGTTAACTACCACAGTTCCATTTTCAAAAGATGAAAACATTGGGACTTATGTGTAAATATATTGTGTAAGTGAATGTATCTGTATATCTGTATACATATAAAGAAAGTCTAGACTATATGTAGTGAAAAAAAATTGCTACTTAAAAAACAAGTTAGAGAATAGTGTATATCTTCTTCATGACACAGTGACATTGTATTTAATCTGTTGTGTGGTCTGTCCCATGATCCTAAATTTGTTTGACAAAGACCATTTAGAAGCTATACATGATTGTATTGTTTTGTTTGTTGAGGCCTAGAATGCTAACCATGAAACCACTTTGAGTTGCTAAGAATTAGAAGTAGAATACTTGACTTTTTAATTTAATGTGCCTAGTGGTATATAGTATTTTTATAAGATTTTAATGAATAAAAAATCACATGAAAAGTGATCAATATCGTAAGCAATGAAATTCACCAACCAAAATAAAAACAAATATGCATGTATATTAGTAAGTGGGTCATAGTAATCAAATACTTTCCTCTCAACATATAGGAATAAATGAAGAAGAAGAAAAGAAAAAAGCAAAAAGCAAAGAAAAGATCAAGTTGAAAAAAAAAAGAAAAAGGTATTTTTGACATCATTTTTATAAAAGCAGAAATGTGAATCCAGGATGGATTATAATATTTGATTGTTCATGTTCAGTTTATTTAATATTAATGTTTTCTTAATGGAAGTTAGCCATTTAGTTATTTCAGTAAAATAACAAAAGTTCGATAAGTCAGAGTCAAAATTAAACACTAAGCTGCCTTAAATTTTCCTTCTAGAATAATTAAAGATATAAATAAGTAACAATCCTCCACCTTCTTTTTTGTTTTCTTTTTGTATTCTAGAATTTTAAGTTTCAGCTCTAAGTTTGCAGAGATTTAATTTTTCCTCATATATATGACTTTGGAGCTATAGATATTTGTATCCTTATTGTAGCACTACCATGCTAAGAAACTAACTTGTATTCAGAATTTATTTACTCATTTGCCATGTTAAAAATTCCTTTAGGTCTTTCAAAATTCTTATCAGTCACCTATGATCCTGTACATTGCAACTAGTATTTTGTTGTCTTATTTCCACTATCACAACATGGTGAATTACTTACAGGAAAAATGAAATTATGTATTTTCTTCCAAATTATTTATTCCAGCCTCTCTACCTTGGGCCTCACAGACCTCATACAGAGCACAAAATTTTATAGGCACAGCTAGCAGAAATGTCACCCAATAGAATTGCTCTGTGATGTTAAGATATATGTATACAATAAAAAATAAGGTGTTATGTACAGAAAAAGAAAGAAAATCCTGGGGGACCTCCCTGGTGGCATAGGGGTTAAATCTCAATGCTGTTACCACTGCAACCTGAGTTTAATCCCTCACCAGGGAACTGACCCACGTGTGGCACAGTAGACCTCTCTTGTGTCACCCACTGCTCCCTTCTGCAGTACATTTTCGGTAAATCTGCTGGTTCTCCCCTCTGTCTCGGTGAATCTGCTCACTCCCCTCACCTCTGGCCTGTGCTCCAGTTCTTCAGTCAATCAATAATAAAATTCTGAACCAAAAATAAAGCCAAAATGAACAAAAAGAGCAGGTAGAGAAAAAGCTTTAATCAGAATATGAGAATGCTGGAAATCAGGTAAGAGTTGAGAAAAACAAAATTTAATAGGAAACAAGAGAATAAATGAAAAATAATTCAGCAAATACCAGAAGTCTTAAGTGGACAAGCAAAAGGAAGGAATCTAACATTACAGAAATGGAAGAAAACTCAGAGTCCCTAATTGAAGAATACGGTTGAAGAATTCACACAATCAAGACACAGACAAAAACAGTATAGATACTGAATTTCCTTTCTTTAGTTTGGGTATTCATGTCTAATAGTTAGATCACTGAACTGTCTCTTGAGATGCTTCAATGAATTCCATTCCTGCCTTGTCATGCATATGGAGATTGAATATATGTAGAAGGTCTCACACCTTTGTATAAGACCTAAGGAGATAATCTTTTTCAGTTTTTTGTTATTTTTAATATTTGAGGAATGAATTCTACAGCTATCTTCCAGTTTAGTATTATAATAATAATAATAGAAAAATAAAGTATCATGACAAATCATCCTAATTCATTTAGCATATACATTTAAAAACACCCACTCTTTCACTAGTGAAAATTATTTCAGAATGCAAGCATTTGTCTATATCAATCTTCATCCAGAAGAAACAAATGCTTTAATTTTAAAAATTAAAATAATTTACAAAAGTGCTTTTATTTTGCTAATTTTCAGCTTTTATCCTTTATAGCAAAAGTACAGATGTATTCCTTTTTCTGTAATTCCTTCCTTTTGTGGCTCTTTTAAAGAATTTGTAGTTTCCTATATATACAAGTGAACTGTGTTTGTAGTAAGGTTTGGCAAGCACAAATATTTTACCTTTTAAGGTTGTGGATAGAATGAAAAACTGGACATCAAAAAAGATTTTACCTTACTGATCTGAAAATTCATAATTGAAGTTGAACAGAAGTATTTGTTTTGTCAGCATCTATGATCACATAACAAAAATTCTGAACTTAGCATTTTAAGAGAATACAAATATATAAAGCCCATTTTATTCAAGTCTCTTTATTTATATTCTTAACTTTCTCAAAGAGTAGAATTAAGGTTATTCAAATCCATTTTAACATCACCTATCAAACATAATTAGTATATATTATTACTTACAGGTCTTATTCATCCAGTTCCACTGAAGAAGACACTTCAAAACAAAAGAAACAAAAATATCAGAAGAAAGAAAAGAAAAAAGAAAAAAAAAGATCAAAAAAGGGAAAACATCACAAAAAAGATAAAAAGAAGAGAAAAAAGGAAAAGCATTCTTCTACCCCTGACAATTCTGAGATCTCCAAAAAGTAACTGGGACTTTGGCCTATGCCATTAAATTTGAAATTTTGGTTTTGAAAATTATTTGACCTTCCTTGGAATTTACTATATAATTATGCTTTGCAATAAATCACAACCTTTTCCATTTAGACATTTTTTCCAAATATGGGACCATTATCCTCTGGAAATATATTTTTAATGTGCTATGATTGTAAGTGTTGAATAAGTCTTATAACTTATCATCCCTGCCCCAGGTATGGATAAGTGTATATACAAAGCACATTATTTTCTGAATTCATATCTATGTGTGTCTGGCTAGTGTTTCTACTTTGTAAGTTGATTGTAAATAACAAGACTACAGTCAACATAGGTAATCTTCCTAATAGTTAATGAGCACTGCTAAATCAAGTATCTGCCATCCAGTGATAAAGCCAGGAAGGGAATAATACTTTGCTTTTGACACTGAAAATGTAATAGCTTTCTAGCCTATGATAATATATAAAAATAGTGAAATTCCTCACTATTGCTTTTAACTCCCTAAGCTTTTTTGGATATCATAGGAGTTTAAGCTGCTTTATTGGTCTTGATTAGGGGTTTTAAGTTGACAGTGTTGGCAGGAAGATGCACATGAAAATATAGCAAAGTTTCACTGTTTTACAAAGTGCAGTTTCTAGTACCTGCCTCATTTGTTTTTGTAATGGAAATATTTCTTCCTTGTTTAAAAAGATAAGTGTGACTTAGCCTATTAGTAAGTCTGTTTAGGCAGGATTTTTACAATAGGCTCCTGGGTTGTTTTTCAAATGTGCCATATTGGCATGTCTTACTTAAAGTGATACCTCAAACAGAACTTTTTATTTAAAAGGATGAAAGATAAATCTTCACTAGAATTGATTTTTATTGTTATTCAGTATGTAAATTTTATGAAACTTGTTTCTATGAGTAATGTGGAAATTTTTTACAAATGTGAACATATGTATTTATTTGCCTGAAATAATTTGTAGTTTTGAAGCAGGTTTCACACCAAATTTGTGGTTTCATAAGTCACCAGTTTAGGGTGTTTCTTTTTTTCACTTAAGTCATAAACCTCAGGAGCAGTGACAAAAATTTAGGATTAAGAATTTTATTCTGTACTTTTAACAATTTCAGAGCCAGGGAATTGCATCATGAAAGCCTTTGTATATTAATGGAAATTTTATATAAGTAAGCATTTTCAGGCACATGTTAGTATTGGATATAAGTGTTTCTAACATTTTTAATTTCACAATGATCATTGTTTTTTAATATGCATAATATTCCCAATGAGTTAAATACTTACTACTGTAGCATCATTAAAAATCAACTAATAATCATGACACAGCACCAAAGATTGCAAGTACCTCACTGTGGTGCAGTTATAAATTTTCAGAATGATAACCTACATAGCCACAGGTATGCTGATTATGTGAAATCAGGTAAGTACACATAACTTCACAACCTAGAAGAATGTACTGAATCTTCCTTCACCCAGCACCATTACTTGGTGTGCCCTCATTGAACAGGGACTCCTCATACCTCCTTGTAACATTTGCTTACCATGTTCAGATTATAGGGAGTCGACCCACTTCCTCATCTAGCATTAATACCGTGGAAACTCTTATACTTCTATCTTTTCTCTAGCCTATTTTAGTTATATGGCCTTCTCAAAAATAAATTATCTTGTTTAAATAGTTAGTTGTTTGGAAACAGAACTACTAGGTTAAGGGTTTGTTTTCCCTTTGCTATATTTTGTATTTTTTTTATGGAAAATACAGTTTTTTGGCTATCAAGATAGAAGATAAGTTTTTTAAAATTCAAATACTTGGACAATACTACATGCAAAAGGATAGCTTCATCCTATTAAATGTATAACATGGTTTAAAATGATAATTGTAATGAAACAGAATTAATCCATTTTTTTATTCTGTTAATTGTAGAGATTATAAATTGGTATATTAAGTTTATTTTAGGAATAGTGATACAATAAATAATGCTTTGAAAGAATTATATAAAATCCAGCCATCATTATCTATTATACTGTGCAAATTAAATGATGTTAATGGTCAGTAGTTTTTTTTTTTCTCCCCAGAAACAATCTTGAACATTATTCTTAAGAAATAGTATGAGAATAGCTATGAAATAGCTCATCTAAATAAAGCTCATTTGTTTTTACTAAAATAATTTTCTTCTAAAGTGATCTTGATATTATAATTGGGATTAATGCACAACTCACTAATCTATTTTAGGAGAAAATTAATGAAATTTCCTCTCAGAGAGTTGTAACAGAACGGATACTGTATTAAATAGAAAAATTCCAAAGTCCAACCCATTTTTTTAAAACAAATATTGGAGTTAACGTTTTGCTTTTTGATGTGTACATATATGTTCCAAACCACCCACACCTCTTTGCCTCCCTCCCTCATCCATCCCACTCTTGCCTCTCTTCCTTCTACTAACCATTAATTTTTTTCACTAAGTTCAAGATTTCTTCCTGCTGTACTTTTTCTGTCTGGTTTTTTTTGTTGTTGCTTATTTACATTCCATGAATGAGTTAACCACCCAGTATCAATCTACTTAGTATAAACACCTCAAGGTTTTCCCGTTTTGTCCCCAAAGTCACTGTCATCCTTTCTTCATATATAGTATTCCACTGAATATGTATTCCACCATTTCTTTATTCATTCATTTGTTGAAGGGCACATAGGTTGGTTCCAGGACATAACATGGCAATTGTGAAAAAATCTTCACCTTTCTAGCTTCCTCTGTGACCTTCAACAAAGTCATTTATCTCTTCTGGGCCTTGGTGTCTTTCATTTATAAACTACTATATCAACTTATCCCTGAGATTCCCTCCTAGTCCTTAATATGTATTGTTATCAATATTTAAGAAAAATGCAAGTAATATTTACATTATAAACTATTACAGGTAAGTAGATAACATTCTGTGTTGATAAAGACTGAATTCATTAAATGTAACTTAATCTTATTTATACAAATAATTGATAATTTGGTTACATCCTTACCACTGAAAATATATCATTTTCATGAGATGAAATTTAGATTTATATCTGTAACCAGATTATTTGAGTAACTTGAGGTTATTACATTTGGGCTGATGGACCTACTCGCCATGTAGTTTATTTATATCATCTGTTTACTAGAATCTTTCAGTAAAATATAGCTATTTGTATCTTTAGTTTTCCAAAGTACAAAATATCAATAAATAAGTAAAATAACAATAAGTTTAGATTTACTGCTCACTCTATATTGAATTATAAAACCCTTGGTCACCTTTGATTTAAATGGGTTGAGAAGTTATTAGTGGTGTTTATTAAAATGCCATGAGTCATTTCTTCAACAAATATGAATGCCTAGCATAGCAACTACTGTGCAAAATATTGAGGAAAAAGAGATTAACAGAACACATTTGTTTCCCTGTAGGAGTTTCACAGTTTAGTTGGTAGGAGAAACACAAGAACATATCATTTGATAATTACAGTAGTTGACCTGAAAATGGGTTTGTAAAACAGAGGGTTACCTAACCTATTCTGGAGAAATTAGAGGAGGCTCTCTGGAGAAAGTAATGCCTGAATTGCATTTTAGTTGACAATGAGAGGGTAGGGTTTTTTTGTTTTCTGACAGAGCACATACTATGAGCTTTTAAGCCACAATAGAGGCCCTCCCTGGTGGTGCAAGGGGTTAAAGTGCAGCTGAAGCACAGCATTATGAAGCTATCCACAGCCACTGCAGCATGAGCTCGATCCCCAGCCAAGGAAGTGACACATATGGCATGGCAGACCTCTTCTGATCCGCCCACTGCTCCCTTAGCAGTGTATTTCTGTCAGTCCACCTGTTCTGCCCCCAACTCTGTCTCTGGTGAATCCTCTCACCCCAAACCCCACACCTCCAGCCTGTTCCCTAGTTCTTGTATGCATAAGTAAATAAATCTTTAAACACCACAATAGAAAAAACATAGGGGATGGAGGGAACAAGGAAGAATTTAGAGTATCCTAGATCCTCAGAAAACAAGAGAACAGGTCTTAGACTCCAGACCATCAGCAATGAGCCATCTTCAGAGAGTTTTACAGAAAGACATGACTTTTATTGGAGTTTTATTGATTTCAAAATTCCACAGTTTTTAAAAGATAAAATTGCTTTCATTAAGAGGCCACGTGGGGAAAAAAAAAAAAGCGGCCACATGGAAAATAATTTGAATTGTTTATGTTCCATTATTACTATTCTAGACCCAGCTTTCTAGGATCTGATTATTACTATACCAAAAGTTACAATGACTTAAACCTTCTAAAAACATACCAAGCTACTGTATTTTTACAGAACCATCCCCAGAATTACATGTACAAATTATGTACATACGTTGAAATGTGTTTTGCTTTTAATTTTAGATTGTTTGAAAAGTCTGTTGGTGTGTTTAAAATTTGTAAGATCCAAATATTTGAATTCTTGTTTGCAATGCAAAGACTGTACTAAGATTTGATAAGACTTCTTGCTTATAGAATCAGTCTCAACCTGTGAAGCACACTGTTTTAAAGTTAGAGTCAATACCAGTTTGTCTAGTGGCTAAACCCTGTGGCTCTCCATTAGATAACCTAATTTAGCAGAAGAGCTTTGAAGACTAGAGCTAACAGTAGTGCTTCCCTTTTCCCTGTGTAGCTGGTAAGTTTTCTTATTGCAGGGTTTAATAATCCTTCTTGCAAAGTCCACAGTCTTCTGACCTCATTTATCTACTCCCAGCTCTCCTAAAAATACACGAAGAGTTGCAGAGAATTGGATGACCAGGTACATCCAGCCATGCCCAGCCCCACACAAATCTGGAGGAACCATCTACTGACTGTGAGTCTCTAAATGTTCTACTTCTTGTGTTATTTGTAGAATCTGCCTGTAGTCTTGAGAAACAAAGTAGAACTTTACTAGTGCCTTAACTAAACTTGCTTCACCTGGATCTAGTAAATAATTACTAACATCGGTGTATTGCGATAGCCTGTTTCCTAGGACTTTTTTTAAATCAAAGTTGGATAAAAGATCAAGAAGCACACACAGATTTTTTATGTGTTTTCACAAAAATACGTGAAAATGCTTTGCTTCTGTGACCATACAAAATGTACTTTTATAGCAAACATGTTTTAACTTTAAAACTTCACCCATATTCTAAGCAATTTTAATATTGAAACATGGGCAAAATTGTCCATGGTTTTTTTAATGTGAAATCTGTTACACAGTAGCAGGACATTGCAGTGACATCTGGAACAACACCTGTCAATATAGCTATATGAGACTGTAAGTTTAAGTTAATTAAATATATCTTCAGTTGCATTAGCCACATTTCAAGTTCCTAGTAACCATGTGTGGCTAGCAGCTACCATACCAGACAATGCAGATAGAGCGAGAACATATCTATCATCATAGAAATATCTAGTGCACATGCTATTCAAGAAAATGTATGCAGTTCTTGTTAGAAATTTTGACAATCTAATGATAAAAAGTTTCTAAACCTCACCTTTCTAGTGTAAGAGCAAAAGAGCATCCCCCCTTTTTTTCATATACAAGAAAATCTGTATTTCAGCACATTTTAAAATACTAGGCTTCCAACTACTGAAATTTTACATAATACATGTATTCAGTTTAAGATAAACACATTTTTCCTACTGTATTACATTATAAAAAGCCTGTGTCCTTATAATAGAAATCATACTTGTTATATGTTTTATTACTGCCATAGCCTTAGGTAGGACCAGAAAACATGTTTTGTAACTCTCATTATGGAAATTTCTTAGGAACTCTATAAGTGAAAGAACTTTATTACAATTGTCCCAGTATAAGCAAAAAATATTTACTAGACAGATTATACATTGCGATATATTTTGCTATTTAATGTTAGCTTCTAAAGTCAATGTTTAGTTTCCATACTTAGTCTTCTTTAGAAGGCATGGTAATTTCTAAGACTTAACACTATACCACTTCTATACCCCAAAATTTGCCTGCCCTATACCATCTGTTATAAACGTAACTGCCTCTATCAAAAATTGTGAAATGCTGGTATGTTACATGAACTTCACATTGTTTCTCACTTGGATAAGTTTGCTTATCTCTTACAAATTCTTTAATGTCTCCTGAAATATTACCATAATTTCATGTAAAATAAAATATTTACCAAATAAAAGTTAACTGATGTACATGAAAATTTACCATAAACCTTAGTGGGTATTTAATAAATTAGTTGAAGGATCAAAAATGTGGCTGTCTTGCTTTATAAATGGCAAATTTTTGGAAAGTGTCTACATGCTCTATTTGAAATTCAGTGTTTGTACTGTTCCATCTCTCTAGTGAACTTTCACAAAATGGGATTTTTAGTTAATAAGCAATGTTGACTTGTGCTGTGTCCATTGTTTTTCTTGAATTATATCATCAGCTTCATAGGATGTTTCATTTGTTGAATTTGATGCTACATTTGAATTTGAAGCTTTGATTTTTCTATTTGAGTTGCCTGCAAATACACAAAACAAAAAGAAATAATTAGAAATGTGAGAAGGAATTATAAATTCACGAGATAGCATTCTAGTTTTCAAGTCTCAATTACACACAGATGATAAGTACTCTTTCTTTAGCATATGGCATGATGGTAGTGTAAATTGGTAGGTTTTTCTGGTGTCCTACTTTGAAATGTAATTTTACTTTTTATTTATTTATTTTTAAGATTTTATTTATTCATACAGAACTGGGGTACAGGCCAGAGATGTGGAGGGTGAGAGGATTCCCCAGAGACAGAGCAGGGAGCAGAGCAGGCAGATCTACGAAGTACACTGCTGAGGGGAGCAGCAGGTGGGTCAGGAGAGGTCTGCCGCACCTTGTGGATCACCTCTGGGGCAGGCGGGGATCGAACTCATGTGGAAGTGGCTTAAGCTTCCTAGTGCTGCGCTTTAACCCACTGCGCCACCAGGGAGGGCCCTGTAATGCAATTTTAACAGAATTTTTTATTTTTTGCAAGTGCTCAGGATACAATGTTAAGTGAAAGGATGCCAGTAATACAATAATATTTATTTAGTACATCTCATAACACTTAATACCAGCTTCTCTTTGCTTAAAGTCCTTGAGGATAAAATCTGAACTTCTTGGTTAGCAGGACTGATCCTGCTCCCCTTCCCTGACTCAGCTGCCCCACTTCCTTGCATTTGGCTTGAGAGGTACAGAAACACTGACAGTTTCTCCTGCCCCTTCTTCTCCCCTTTCTTTTTCTATACATTCTACCTGTGCTCTTTGTCCGGCCTCCTTTGTGGGAATAACTTTTCATTCATGCTTAGAAAATCACTGCAAGGAAGACAAACTCATTGGCCAAGGTCCTCCACTACTAGAAATACTGCTTTCTCTGTACACCATCAAAAGTCTTCTTGATTGAGGGCCCTGAGGGCCCTCAGGGCCCTCCCTGGTGGCGCAGCGGGTTAAAGCGCAGCACTGAGAATCTGAAGCCACTTCCGCATGAGTTCGATTCCCGCCTGCCGCCTGCCCCGGAGGAGTCCACATGGCGAGCCAGACCTCTCCTGGCCCGCCCGCTGCTTCCCTCAGCAGTGTACTTCGTCATTCTGCCTGTTCTGCTCCCCACTCTGTCCCTGGTGAAGCCTCTCACCGCCCCTGAGCCTCTGGCCTGTACCCCAGTTCTGTATGAATAAATAAATAAATCTTTAATAAAAAAAAAAAGTCTTCTTGATTGGACTTTTCAATTTCTTTTTTCTTTAGATAAGTCAAGGCCTCATCTTGACTTATGTTAGTCCTGTCTGGTTTTCCCCATTTATAAATAATTTTATGGACAACTTTCTAGGGCTAAAAGTTATGGGTTGATTTCTTATCAACCTTCAAAGGACAGTTTTATCTAAAAGTTTTGACAGATTATGTCTCACTGTAGCTCCCAGCTCTACCCATAGAAGTGAAATAAGCATGGTATTGTTCTCTGGGTGGATATAAAAATATCATAAATTTAAAAGTGTAAGGCCTATAGTATTATATTAGATGGATTTATCTCATTAATTTTCTTATAAACTTTTAATGGTAAAATAAATTGTTTAATGTTGACCTTCTAAATATCTATTAACAGTCTTTCAACTATACAACTTGGTTTTTTAAAATTAAAGTGTTGGCATAATATTTTTTAGCCTAGCAAGAAAGCTGTTTAAAATAAATATATAATAGGCAAAAGAATGAAGCTAGACTACAATCTCACACCATACACAAAAGCCAACTCAATGTCATTAAGAGGATTGGACATTAGTACTGAATACCATAAAATATATAGAAAAAAATATAGGCAGAGCACTGCATGACATATATCTCAGTAACATCTTTAAAGACACATCCCCCAAAGCAAAGAAAGTGCGGAAAAGATGAACAGTTGGGATTACATCAAACTAAAATCATCTGTACAGCAAAAGAGACATTAACCAAAGCAAATAAAGACCCTCCTGATTGGGAGAAATTTTTTGCATTCCATGCAAGGGATAAGGGACTGATCACAAAGACCCACAAAGAACTCACACAACTCAACAAAATCAAAGCAAACAATCCAGTCAGAAAATGGGCAGAAGAGCTAAAGGACTCTTCTTCAAAGAAGAAATGCAAATGGCCAACATATGAAAAAATATTCAATCACTTAAAATCAGGGAAATGCAAATCAAAACCACAGTAAAGAAGCACCGTATGCCATGAATGAATGGCCCATATTAAAACAAAAAAACAGGACACAAAAATGTTGGCGAGGATGTGGAGAATTCTCCCGCAATGTAACTGGTGCTGCACTGCAACTGGTCCTGCAAACTGGTCCAACCACTATGGAACGGCATGTGGAGAGTCCTCAAAATATTAGCGATGGAGCTACCACATGACATAACAAGTCCACTCCTATGAATCTACTCAAAGAACACAAAAAGATTGATTTAAAAAGAAACCTGCAGCCTTATGTTTACTGCAGCACTATTTACAATAGGTAAGACTTGGAAACAGCCCAAGTGCCCAAAAACAAATGACTGTATGAAGAAGATGTGGTACATACACAATGGAATACCATTCAGCAATCCCAAAAAGATAAACTCATGCCATTCACAACAATATGTATGGAGCTAGAAAAGTTTATGCTCAGTGAAATAGCCAGAAGGAAAAAGAAGAATACTGGATGGTTTCACTTATAGAAGGAATATAGAGTAACAGATTAAAGCATGGCACTGTAAACTAGCCATAGCTCCTTCAGTGGGAGTTCCGTCCACAGCCCCGGATGTGACCCACATGGCGTGGCAGACCTCTCCGACCTGCCCGCTGCTCCCCTCATAGTGTACTTTGTTGAGCTGACTGTTCTGCTCCCCACTTTGTCTCTGGTGAATCCTCTCACCACCCCTATACCTCTGGCCTGTTCCCCAGTTCTGTATGCATAAATAAATAAATTTAAAAGAAAAAAAGAAGGAATATAGGGAACCAAATAAGAGATCAGGAAAATACATATATGACATTTATAGCAATTTTTTTTTTAAAATAGCAGGCAACCATAAATCAGAGACATTCTGCAAGGCAGGCAGGGGTAAGAAGAGGAACCAAAATGGGAGAGAAGAGCACAAGGGATTATGGTGATGGCTCACAGGTGAATTGGTGGTGGAAATTTTACAGGGAATACACCTGAAGGAAGAAAGCAAAATTTCAAAAATAAAATAAGTGTAATAGGGATAGCTGGCATGAAAATTTGATGAACTGTTAAGTTCTTGACCGTTACTTACAAAGTAGACTTGTTTAAAAGATTCATTTTTTTAAAATAGTGGAATATTTGCTTTGTAAAGGGCTTTGATACTGTTTCTCCTCATACAACATTTGAAAACCAAATTATAATGAAGGTTTATTTTGAATTTGTGTAGCATTGTCTATACTCTTCAGTATAGGTAAAGGTCAGTGATAAGGATATAATTTGTAATTTGTTTTCATAATATGGATAACATTTGTGTCATAAAAGCATTATTTAACTACCTAAAATTTTAGTATTTTATTGGAATTGTTGAAAGTCATAACACTTTTTAACAGTAAGTTTGGTTAATAAAAGTCCTTCATATTTTCTAAGTTTTTGCTTACTTAAATTTGTATCAAACTTTCAAGATTTTTCTTTAGGACTTGTCACATACAGTTTATGTTTATGACTTTTTTATGTGAAATAAACTCCATAAGGTATTTTCTAACCTAGTAATTTTGGGATTCTCTCTAAGTCATCTCCTTCCTGACTGCTCTAATTTCTGTTATATATTACTCTGAAAACAACTGAATTTCTCTAACCTGCTGCCCCCTGAGATTCAAAGGCTTACAACACTAGTTTCTAGTGTGACATTATTTTCCTTCTCCTATGACATGTAAAGAACTCTCCAGCCCTTACTCGCTAATTAGTTGGATACTGGATCCTTTTAACCAGTGAAAATACAAAGATTATTTCTTAGATTGGCTTCTTAAGGCAGGGCAAATTCTTGCCAAAACCATTTTGCTACACAAACAAGATTTGTTACAAACACCACTAACATCACTTGAAGCAGGAGCTTTGATTTGCAAATTAACATGCCTAGTGTTTATTTTCTTCCTGCAGCATATAAAAATTGAAAAATGCTTTCAGTGTTTATCTCTGATAGGTCTGAGTACTTGGACATAGGGAAAAACAATAGCAATGAGTAGGGCTGTAGTGAAAACAGTGTCATCAACGGCATCTTTGGAATGATTTTTTTTTTTTTTGTCTTTTAAGCTCATCTTAATGATTGACTTAACAGAAATGATTTTAAAAGTGAATGATGGAAAAGTCTCCCTTTTTCTTGTTTTCCTTTAATAAATAGAAACAAATTTCTTAACCATAAAAGTAGGAGTAAAACAACTGCTTCATTTTTGTGACAATGTTACATGATGGTTTCAGCTTTAAGATGTTTGTAATACTATTGAGCTTCCAAGGGATTTCTTTCACAAATAGTTTTTCTTATTTAAGTCCTCCTTTTCTTTACCTGAGTACAGATTGCCAAGATTCAATGTCACTTTTTTTCCTGAGTTGACATGAGTTACTCTTTTTTACTGCTTGCTTTCCCTTTTCATTCTGTTTTGTGATGTAGTCATCATATGTAAGTCTTCCTTTAATTCTCTACCTCAGACTGGCATTTAAGGTTTGGGCCTTATTATCAAAAAAAATTTTTTTTAGTCAAATTGATCATTTAAATCAAACTGATCAAAGAAAACCTTTCCATCTCACAAAATAGGCCAATATATTTTTTTCTGTTATCTTAAATTTTACTTTCACTTTCAGAACCTTCCCTCGGATTCATTTATTAATAGCTCTTCAATACATTCTGCTCTTCCATGCTATTTTAAAATGTCAAAAGAATATTGGTGAGATGGTTCACTTTATTATTTCATAGAAGATCTGTATGTCCCACTCATATAGAAGTTCCTTTTGATGGAAGCATGCAACTTGAGATGTCCACCCTAATGATGTTC